ATTTAATCAAAATTGTTTAAAATTAAAATTTAGAATTAAAAGAAGAAAAAATCTAATGATGAATGGTGCTAAAGGTGACACAACAAAGTAAATGTACTTCATGTCACTGGACAGGTAACTATTGCTAAAATGGTTATTCTTAGGTTTTGTGGCTTTATTTTTGCAGTGCTGGATATATGCAGTAGTTTGCATATGCTAGTATTTTATATGTTTTTAAAGATTTCTTTTTGTTTGTTCGTATGTGTGTGTGTGTGTACACACAAGTGTGTGAGTGTCCATAGTGACCAGACAAGTATGTCAGTTCCACTGGAGCTGGAGTTCTTGGTGGTTGAGAGCTGCTCAATGTAGGTGTGAGGACCCTAACTCAGGCCCATTTAAGGAGCAGTAAACACTTTTAACCTCTCAACTCTCTCCAGTCTGATACATACATTTAAGAAACTATCAAATTATTTTTGCATTCTTTTTTTTTTTTTTTTGTTTTGTTTTGTTTTGTTTTTCGAGACAGGGTTTCTCTGTGGCTTTGGAGCCTGTCCTGGAACTAGCTCTGTAGACCAGGCTGGTCTCGAACTCACAGAGATCCGCCTGCCTCTGCCTCCCGAGTGCTGGGATTAAAGGCGTGCGCCACCACCGCCCGGCTTTTATTTTTGCATTCTTAAGAGAATTTGAGCAATCACATTTCTTCTATTAACTTGCCAACACTTAGTGATTTGATCTTTTAGATTCTAGACATTCAGTGTGGATTTCCTCACTGTGGTTTTAATTTGTATTTCCTCAAATGAGTGTTGATGCACTTTCTCCTGTGTTTGTTACTTGTATATTTTCTTTAAAAGATTTGTCTTTTCAAGTCTTCAGGCCACTTATAAATAGATCACATGTTTTCTTATTGAGTTTTAAAATCTCTTTCTATAGATTAGTATACAGATAAATGATCAGCAAAGACATTTCCCTAATCTCTGTTTTTCTTTCATTATCTTAACAGATCTATTAGAGCACATGTTTTAAATTTTGATGACATTCATTAATTTTCTTCTTTTGACTCCTGAACTATTTGAAAAATCACTGACTAATTCAATTTCACAATTTTTACCATATTTTCTTCTAGAAGTTTTATAGTTTGAGGTCATGTATTTAATTATATTTAGGATACATCTTGGGTTAAACTTTGTACATGGTATGGAATTTGGATTGAAGTTCACTTTTCTATATAAAGATCTGCAACTGTGCTGTGGGATAATCATTTTGTACATTGTAAAGATTTGCTACTAAGATTGAGTTAATAAAAAGCTGGTTGGTCAGTAACCAGGCAGGAATTATAGGTGGTACAACCAAACTAGGAAAATGATAGGAATAAGTGTGTCATCAGAAGTCAGCCAGGAAAACTCCCACCTACAAATGGTTCCCACAGTCCAGCATGGATCCAAAGGTCTAAAAATGCTTTACAAAAGGTTCTAAATACACAAAAACAGAGCCAGTTGCAGCTTCTTTGTCTCACAGTCTCACACCAATGTCAAGGAAGAGATGCTACCTGCAAGATGGAAATGGCCACCAAATGCCATTAAATGGCCTGGTGGGTTCTGCAGTCTCATACATGGGCCACAGTACATAGAGACTTTTTCAAGTTGCTGTCTGTGGGCTTGAGAGCTCTGCCAGCATACTTCATGGTGGGTTAAGGTTTTTGCTCATGCAGACAGAAAATATTACAGATACACAGTAAAGACAGAATCAAATGAAATAAAACCTCTAAACAGGTTACAAAAGCTTGGGAGAGAAAGGAAAAAGGGTAGAAAAATTCCTTTAAAAAGAAATAAAGTAATAAAAGATATAATAAACCACATAAAGATAGAAAATACACAGAGAATTTGGATACTGTATGTTATTGTGTTGCCTTTAAATTTTTTGGCTGCTACGAGACACCAATTATGAAAACTGCTAGATTCAACCAACCTATATATTTTGAAAACACCTTTACTTCACAATTTATGTCAAAAGATATGTTACTCTGGGAAAGAGATTATGCTTTTATTTCCACATGAAGTGAGATTCTGTAGACTCATTCTGAGTTAAAGAAAATCAGGTTTGATCAAGGAAGACTGCTAAGAGCTGCAGGTAGCAATAGCTTAAACATCAAGGCATTCCAGTGACAATCAGCAAAACAACGGATTTGAGAATTAAATACCGACTAGCTTCAGTCATGGCTAATTGTAAGATCGTTCTGATTCTGTATTATTTATATGAATGTTTAGCTGTTAACTAAAAGTTTATAGGTTTGAATCCTACTAGAGGCCACAAGAATATACAGCAGATAGCAATTGATATTTGACTCACCAGATAAGTAATCCTCAGATGGAAGAACCCCATTCAAGCAAGGCTTGCAGGGGCACAGACTCTGAAAACTGGCTACTCTGTAATTTTTCTCATATATATATACTCCATCTACTGTGCACACATATAGTTGTAGATGGTCAGGAAGATGATTTCTACTTAATCTGTACAATTTTGATGAATAAAAATAATACTAAGATATTTTTCATACTCAGACTGACATATAAAAATTACAATGTTCTCAATTATAAGGACAGCCTTTTACATACTTAGCTGATTTTAGACTTCAGAGCAGTTTCAAAATAGACTTAGATGCCCCTGCAAAATATGCACAAGGGCAAGTTCCCAGGTGTCTGTCTACTAAACCAAAGTCAGGTTGATAACATTAAGACATACCACCCTGCAGCAATTGATTTTCTTTTCTTTTTTTCGAGACAAGGTTTCTCTGTGGTTTTGGAGCCTGTCCTGGAACTAGCTCTTGTAGACCAGGCTGGTCTCGAACTCACAGAGATCCGCCTGCCTCTGCCTCCCGAGTGCTGGGATTAAAGGCGTGCACCACCACCGCCTGGCTTGATTTTCTGCATGTACTCCTGGCTTTGGTTTATGATATAAGGCTCAAGGTTCAGTCACTAACTGTTTATTGCTAAGGTCCTAAATTTCAATGTCACTTTCCATCATGTCCCTTAGGCTATGTGCAGACATTCTGTGCCTCCCACCTGTATGGCCAAGCAATGCCATGGTTATAGTCAATGTGACCTCCCTAGCCTGAAACTGTATGACTTATTAAATGTTAGTAGAATGGGCTGAACCGTGTATATGCAACTCATAATTGCCCAGAGTTTGGACAGCTGAAGAAGGTGAGTAGGCGAGTGAATGAATGAGTGAAGAATGTGTGTGTGTGTGTGTGTGTGTGTGTGTGCGCGTGTGAATGAAAAAATAATGTAGAAGCGGGATATAGCTCTATGTGGAGAAATGTAGCAGAGTAGAGAGAAGAAATGTGTATGAGAGAGATTTTTCAAGAGGTAAAAAAAGAGGTTACAATCAAATAGCATGTGATTTTTTATTCCCCTCAGATAGAAAAAAGTTCAGTTCTTTCCCAAAGACCCTCAGACATATAAGAACTTTTTCTAAGTTCTGTCATTCTTTTATGTTATTATTGCTATGTATTTTACTTTTTAGTATGCTACAAAGACTATATTATAAATTATTACATTGTTCAAAACAAGAACCAGCAACTAAAACCAAAAGCTTATTTTAGAAAATGAAAAGTTTTCAATGTGAGATGGCTCAGTGAGTAAAGGCTCCTGTCTACTGCCAAGCCTGATGATCTGAGTTTGATGTTAATAACCTACATGGTGGAAAAAGTGAACTGACTACAAATTGGCTTAGGACCCCAGACAATAAACAAACAAAAAAAATTTAGTTAAAACACTAACATGACTATCCATTTAGCTATAACCTATATCTATTTTAGTCTTACAATAATAGAAATGAGTAGCTGACATAAAGGTTAAACATCCCATAACACTGAGGGTATTAACAATGTAGTGCATATGACAAGAATCAGTGATATTTTATAAAGATTTAAACAATGAGGAAAATCTCTTATATAGGTAAGACTAAATATTGTTATCCAATTTATTTTTTATCATTGCTCTGTTCTAGTGGTTACTAGGTTCACATATGGTCACAGATACAAATGTATTCTGCTTTTCATTTTGTAGAGGTCAGGCTCTGGAAGAATAAAATGATAAATGGTAGGATTACCTAAAAGTATTATATCAAACCTCTAACATTAGTCATCTAAAGTCTTTATATTGTAGAAATTTGTGTTTGTATAAGGAGGGGAGAGGAAAGGAGAAAGGGAAGGAAAAAAAAACACGCATTCAGATGCAAGCAGCATTATAGCACAATCCTAACAAAACAAAAGCAGTACTTTGATATACTAAGAATGGTTCATTCAAATAAGCATAAATTATCACTTTCTCCATAAAATTTGACAGTTTGGAAACATGGGAGACAAAAAAGTAGAGATGATCTGTGGACATACAGGGAATTAAAAATGACAGGAATGCTGAGTCATTCTAAACAAAAAAGAGAAATGACCTTCAAAGATGTGCAGGTTTGTAAGATCAGGAACTGATAGCGAAGAAGCAGGTAGCACCCGCTTTGTTACACTGTGGTCACACAAAGTCAGACATATGGGTGTTTTTGTTGGGGAAAAGGTGTCAGTAGCATTACAGTAATAAAATCAAAAAGGCAGGTCATCAACGTTTACAACTTACTAGGTCTTGGAGGCTCATTAACAGACTAGTAAATACAAGTTCTTATACATGTGTTTGAGCATAGGGAGGATAGGATGAATATTCGTTGATTGACAATACAGATTCGTATTAGAAGATTCAAAGCAGACAAGATTTTACTGTGCTCTTATAAAAGAAGCAACATACAAGTTTCATTGACAAAGTACAGGAAGTATCCCATTTTTAAGTTCAGTTTCCATTTACTATCAATTATACCTTTTGGTCCTGTAACTGTAAGAAGAGTTTCACTAGCTCTATGGAACTACCTTGCATCCAACAGTCAATATGCATACACATATATGGAACGCTGCTTTGGTGGTGAATAACAGGCGATGGATTAATCAAACATGTTCTTCAGCACAGAAACATACATACCGGATGTCTTCTGATATAATCATCCACTTGTTGCTTCAATTCAGCTCTGCGTTCATCGGTGAGTTCTTGTAGTCCATGCCAAGGGGCAAATAGTTTATTTTTCTTACGGCACCTTGCTAGGAATTTAAGAACCTAGAGTGAGGTAGAGAGAAAAAGAGCTTGAGTTCTGTTTCCTTAATAGCTACTATCTTAACCTACAACCATTAAGCCAGTAAGTAGCATTCTTCTACAACCTCTGCTCTAGTTTCTGCCTCTGAGTTCCTGCTATGACTTCCCTCCCTCGGTGATGTAACCTGAAAGTGTAAGATGAAATAAATCCCTTTCTTCCTAAGTTGTTTTGGTCATGGTGTTTTATCATAGCAGTAGAAACACTAAGACACTATATGTAAAATAATAGTATTCCAAAATGTAGGCACTATGAACATGTTAATTACATTATTAAGCTTTCAAATCCTGGTAGTTATATATACTTAAGTGCATTTCAGTTTGGACTAGGCATGTGGCAAATGTTCTACAGCTACATGTGCTTACCTAGCTTGTGTACTGAACAACCAAGACCTCCCTACAGTGAATCTTAAAAAATGATTATTTAAAAATATGGTACAATGTGCCCTTTAATGGCCACTGTCCTGTTCAAACTACTTCTAGTACTTTTTCTTTTCTTTCCTCTTTTTCTTTCTTTTCCTTCTTTGAAAGTAATCCCCACTGGGCATGGGGGAGGGGGAGGGGGTTGGTGGCACAAGTCTTAATTCCAGCGCTCACAATGAAGGCAGGCAGATCTCTCTTGAGTTTGAGGACATCTAGTCTACAGTGTGGGTTCCAGGACAGCCAAAGCTACATGGAAAAACCCTCTCTTGAAAAGCCAAAACTAATAATAATAGTAATAGTAATAATAATAATAACAATCCTCTTAGTTCTGCTTCCATTTTGCTAACTTTAGTCCATTCTTTTTTTTTTTAATTGAAAATTTCCACCTCCTCCCCTCCTCCCACTTTCCTCCCCTCCCCCCTCCCCCTCCCTCTCCAGTCCAAGGAGCAGTCAGGGTTCCCTACCCTATGGGAAGTCCAAGGTCCTCCCTGCTCCCCCCAGGTCCAGGAAGGTGAGCATCCAAACAGACTAGGCTCCCACAAAGCCCGTCCATGCAGTAGAATCAAAATCCAGTGCCATTGTCCTTGGCTTCTTTTGTTCTGATTTTAACAATTTTTTTTTTTTTTTTTTTTTTTTAAGATTGAGCAGGTATGAGGCAAATGTAATTAGTCTTTTTCCTTGGTTATTAATGGAAAGTATGAAAGCACCAAACAATTTTGCCATAACCATCACTATTTCTCTAGGGAATGTACATGAGCTAGATTATCTCAGAGAGTCTTTTACAAAATACTAGATTCATTTAAATCAAGCAAGTTAGTACATCAACTCTATCAGGGTCCACCTGATTGTATGGCTGGGAGGAGTTTGAAAAGAAGGGGCAACTATAAAGTAGAAGCATCACAAGAAGGCAAATTTCTTTCAAAAGAAGTATCTCCAACCTGGTCATAAATGAGCTACCCTTAGCTCAGGGTAAATATCAGAAGTATGTATATAATTCAGGATGGTACAGAACTGTTTGTTACATATATACCACAGGGAGGAGGACGAGACAGATAACTCTGCACATTTCCCTAGTATTTATTCTACTGGTTCAGAAATACCTTCATAGGAGAGACAGCTTAGCAGTTACGAGCACAAACTGCTCTTGTAAAAAAACCTAGGTTTTGCTCCCAACATTTATGTCTGTTGGCTCACAACTACCTATAACTCTGGTTCCAGGCACTGGGATGCTTCCGACTTCAGTGGGTATTGGCAATTCAAATCCACACACCTATACAAACATGCTCACATATAATTAAAAAAATAAGTTAAAACATCTCTATAAATATTAATCCACATTCAGTGTTCGAAATTTATCATGGTAAGAAATGAGAATTAACAGCAAAATCTACAAAAAGATGATTAAGCAACATGCTTTTAAGACTTGAAATCTTGCCAGGTGGTGGTGGCGCATGCCTTTAATCTCAGTACTTGGTATATCTCTGTGAGTTTGAGGCCAGCCTGGTCTACAAGAGCTAGTTCCAGGACAGGCTTCAAAGCTACAGAGTAAACCCAGTTTGAAAAACCAAAAAAAAATAAAATAAAAAAGACTTGAAATCTTAATAGAAGCCTAATGATGTATAAGAGAAGTATCAAGAGGGAAAAGATTACTAAATGAAAAACCTTGTGCATGCTTTCCCCAGATATTATTTACTACACATAATCCCCAGGAAAATTACCATTTGAGGATATCATTCTACAATTCAAGAGTTATAATGTTCTAAATAATAGCCAATACTTTCCATGTAACTTGATTATTTTAATAAAATATGATACATTCGCATAGGATTTTTATAATTTACAGACTTCAGAATCCTCATGTATGTCATCTATATATAACAAAATAAAAAAGATAGAATAAGTATCCATTCAATTCAAGCTCATTGAGAGCTGACACCAATATAGAAGGTTTATTAGTTCCCTATTGAGAAACCTGTAGGTCAAATAAGAGAGAAAAATAATAACAAGGTTTCAATCTAGAAAATGGCAGACAGTGCTAAGAACTTAAAGTCTAAATCAGCTTGAGAAGAAGCAAGTAGGCTGTTATTATTACTATATATTTTTAAATTTATATTCCTAGGAATTAAGCCTACAGTCTTACACATGCTAAGAACGTAAGTACTTAACCACTGAGCTATACCTCTAACCCTATGTTCTTATAAAGAAACTAAGGTCCCAAAAGCTAAGTGGTTGATCATGCGTTTATATTTGGGAAACAGCAAAGTCAATTTTGGACACTTGTTTGTTTCTTTATGTAAAACTTTGTATACTACAGCAGACTCACTGCTCTTTGAAGTGTAACAGCTGCTTTATACTCTGTGAGAGCTGGCCTCTGTTGGCGGAAGTTCTTCCTTTCCCTGTATCCTCTCCAATATTTCTGGATAGTCAATGCTGACTTCTCTTCCATTTCCCTATTGTACTTCTCCAGTTGACCTAAAGAGACGATAGACATTATTATAACATATTCAACCATGTTTTCTCAAGCTCTGAAATTAGGACAACATTAGTAATGACAAATTTACAAGGTTTTTTGTTTGTTTGTTTTCAAGACAGGGTTTCTCTGTGTTAACAGCCCTGGCTGTTCTGGAACGCAACTCTTGTAGACCAGGCTGGCCTTGATTAGGCTCACAGAGAACCACCTGCCTCTGCCTCCTGAGTGCTGGGATTAAAGATGTATGCTACCAACCCCCAACAATTTTATAGTTTTTAATTTTTTCAACATTATTCACTAATTTGCCAAACTCTTCTATTTTATTATAGTTCTATGATTGTAGAAACTAAAGCTTTATTAGAATATGCAGTTAATTTCCAAAAGGACTCATAATATTTTTGCCTCAGAGTAATGAGAAAAAGATGAAAGGTCAATATTACAAATGGTCTGACTAAAGAATTATAAGTTCATGTAGGAAAGAATTTCATGGGAGCAGGGGAGAAGTAAAAGTGTGTTTATGTACTCATTAATCTATTCTGTGCATTTCCAAACTTCCCTCTGGTTTGTCACACAAATGACTTTCCTTTGACTTTTGGAATTGGTCAGCAGCATACAGCTCAAGGTTCACCGAAGTTAAATGACAGGAAAAAAGCTGTAGAACAAAGTACCAGTGGTTAATACAAAGCAGGTATCTTAGAGAGAAAGTATTAAAAAGAAACTGATAGAATTTAATGGCTGACCTGTTGTAGAGAGGTGACAAAGAGAAAGTAAGAATGCTGAATGGGAAATTGAACAGAGCATTACCTGAAATGGGGAATCAATAGAGAGGAAATATGGGAATGAGATCTGACTTTAGCTTTCGGAATATTTGTGGATAGTAAAGAACACTACCCAACAGGCAGTTGGTCACAAACGCAGCCATTACATATATGTGGCTACTGAGTGGATTTAAATAAAACAAAATTAAACATTCAAGTTCTCAAGTGCAGTACCACATTTTGAATATTCAATAGCTACTTGTAGCTATTGCTACTGTATTGACTCGTGTAGACAGAACTTTTCACTGGTAACATAAAATGTTCTACTGGGCAGTGCTACTTAGAAACTTAAGAGAGAATGTAGGGTGGAGAGAAAGCCAAGGATAAGAGTGCTAAGCATTTTGCTGATAGTTGACATTATAGCTATGGATAGGACATATCAGGCAGAGTAATATGAGAATAACTGGAAAAGGACAAATTCTGGAAAATATATTTAAAGTAAAAGAGAGGGGGCTACTGAAGGTTCTTGGGAATGAATAATAAAAACAAAAAGGAAGTAAATGGATGACTGAAAAACTGTGAGAGGATACGCATGTAGCTGAGTTGATAGTACTTCCCTAGGATGAGGTTCTGGGTTTAATTCTCAGCATGGCATAAAACCAGGTGTGCTGATACACTCTTAATAATCTAAGAACTTGGAAGGTAGAGGCAAGAGGATAACAAATTCAAGATCATCTTTAGCTACATATTGAAGCCAGCCCAGGATATATGAGATCCTGTCAAAAAAACAAACAAACAAAAAATCCTAGGGAGATGGCTCAGTTGACAAAATGCTTACTATGCAAGCATGAAAAACCATAAAATGTTTACTATGCAAGCATGAGAAACCAAGTTTGTATTCCTAGTACCTATGTAAAATCTGGGCATAATGGCACCTGGCTGTAACCCCAGTACTGGGGAAAGATGGGGCAGATATAAGCAGACATTGGCAGTTTGCTAGCCAGCTAGCTTAGCCAACTGCTGAGTTACAAGGACCAGGGAAAGATCCTGTTTCAAAAATTAAGGTGGACAGGGATAGAGAAAGACGCCTGATGTTAATTAACTTCTGGCCACATGTAAACATTTGTACTCACTATACATGCACACACACATGAACATATACACACAAATACTACACCACACACACACACACACACACACACACACACACACACACCAGCATGCTCTTATTAATCCAGCTTAGTCTGTCATAAGTGGTGAGAAGATGTCACAAATTTTATTCTAGGGAGTGACTTAAGTTCAGACTGTACAAATATTTGAAGTTCTTTTAAGAATTTTTTAATGTCATTGGTAACTATTTTTAATTATAAACTTTTAGGTTAAACACATGTATCTGGAAAAAAACTTAAAGTTAATAGGTATGAATCAGAAAAGCTGTAATTTTTAAAATCCAGAGATTTAATATGATTTCTCTAGAGGGGGTAGGGAGGCAAAAAATTCCAAATACAAAAAAGAAAAGAAATTATCAGGTTGCCAGAAAACTTGTTTTAAGATTTCACATTTTTACACTTATGAAGTGATACTAGTACTCACCTGGATGAACGATTTCAAGCATACTCAAGCGTGACTCTCGGGAAAGCCTCATGGCTCTCTGTCTTTGAAGCTGCAATCTTAATCTGAGGTCTTTTTCTTCTTTTTGCCTATTTAGCTCCAACAATGCCTTTGTTCGTTTAGATCTGTGAAAGGAAAAAGATAAGTTCCTTACACACAATTTTATAAACCATGTTCAGCAAATGCATGAAATCCCTGATTTCATGAATAACCAAATAGAAAAAAAATGTTTTGGAAGATAATTTGTTGGTGGGGTAGGTGAAGAACATTGTTCTTATGTATAAATTTCTCTAGAGATATTTAAGTAAATATCTCTACATCATCAAAAGTCCAGAGGAATATTTAAATACATATAAGAAGGCTCAAAAATGCAGATAAAACAATTCCACTTCTAATTATTTTCTTACTGAATAATCAAATATGTAGACTTATGTTCAAGGATATTGTAACATAGTATTACAGTGGCAACAATTTGAAAGCTATCCTACAATAGTAGACTGAATAAATATTTAGTCTTTTAACTGACGGGATTCTACTAATTTTGAAAATAGAAATAGAAAACTTGCAAAAATTATTTAGTGACATATACTGTCAGATGAAAATAAAACCAAGAATACATATTTGCTAAAAATTGTGTTTATTTACATAGAAATATAAATTATTTAAAAATGTTAAATTTTCAATACTGACTTTTACTGCATGGTATACTTATGTCTAACTTTTAAAGTTTATTTTTTCTTTCTTTTCTTTGTTTGTTTTGTTTTGTTTAAGGTTTATGGGGGATGGTGAGATGGCTCCACAGTTAAAAGCACTAGTTGTTCTTCCAGAAGTCCCAAGTTGGATTTCTAGCACCCATACTGTGTCTCATAAGTTGCAACTCCAGGTCTAGGAGATCCAATGTCCTCTTCTGGCTCCTGCAGACACTCGGAATGCATATGGTACACAGACATACATGCAAGTAAAACACACATATAAAAAATTAAAAATATTTATTTTTAACATGATCTGCCTACATGTTTTTATGTGCAATACATGCATGCCTGGTATCTTTGGAGGTAAGATGAGGGTATATTATCCCCTGGAACTGGAGTTAGGGATAGTTATGAGCCAACATATGGGTACGGAGAAAGGAAATTAGGTCTTCTGTAAGAGTAGCAAATGCTCTTAACCACTGAACCATGGAACCAAGCCCTATTTTTCCTTTTGTTAAATTTATTATATTTATTTAAGCGTGTATGTGCACGTATGCATTGTATTTGTGGGCATATACCAGTCATGGAGCATATGTGATCAGAGGACCATCTGAAAGAGTCAGTTTTCTTCTTCCACTATGCTGGTCCTGGGAATCCAAAGTCATGAGGCTGGATAAAAGACATCCTAACACTGCTGACCATCTAGTCTACTCCCAGGATTAGGTATTTTTCAACTGTTAATTAAATATATACTATTTTATGACTGGCTGTAAAGTTTTGTGTTCAAATGCTTTAGTTAATTATAATCTCTACATTTTCTGCTGATACTTATCAAATTGCTTCTTGACCACTGCAACTCAGTCTTTGATACTTCCTATATGTCACTATGAAAAGCATTACAAATATTAGTATACAGTATATATACTTAAAATACTTTCAGGTATCTATAGAGGAAAACCAGGAAGATACAAAAAGACAAGCAGAAATACTATTTACTTTGCTTAAATTAATTTGCAGGTCTCCTTCCAGAGTATGACTTCTCTCCCAGCAGCAAAAACAAGATAAGTACTTCAAAAAACAATAAAGGAGCTTGAACCCAGTGGGGTTTACATAGTGAGACCCTGTCTCAATAAAACAACACTACCCTCAAGTAAAACAGCTTCAAAAAAATGAGCAAGTTAACATACCATAGAGACGCTTACATATACATGTTAGTTGTTGCAACCCTTTACAATGGCAAAGATGGCATCAGTCTAAATGTTTATCAATAAATAGAAGGATAAAGAAAAGTTGGTACATATTTACAATCGTCTTATTCAGCAACAATGAAAAATGAATCCGTGACATTTGCATAACATGAAGGGAACTGGAAATCACTAAGTAAGCCATATTGGCAAATATTCAGAACCTGTAATTAATTTTATGAATATTGTATATGTTTAATGAAACTGGAAAGAGGCTCATGAGAAGAAAGCGATGAAGAAAATGTATACCCAGAATAAGAGAGAGAACCAGCCAGAGGTGGAGGCAAGTACAATAAAGGAGAGGATGAATTAAAACAAAGTGTAACACATCAGAACCATCATCCACCATGATCAAGTTGGCTTCATCCCAGAGATGCAGGATGGTTCAACATATGAAAATCTGTCAACATAGTCCACCATATAAACAAACTGAAAAATAAAAACAACATGATCATCTCATTAGATGTAGAAAAAGCTTTCCAAAAAAAATACAGCATTCCTTCATGATAAAGGTCTTAGAGAGAGCAGGGATACAAGGAACATACCTAAACATAATAAAGGCAATATACAGCAAGCCAACAACCAATATTAAACTAAATGGAGAGAAACTCCCAGCAATTCCACTAAAATCAGGAACAAGACAAGGTTGTCTAATGTCTCCATATCCAATATAATTCTTGAGGTCCTAGCTAGAGCAATAAGACACCAAAAGGAGATCAAGGGGATACTGGTGCGGGAGAATTGTCTGTATTCTGTCAATCATGTTTTAAATAAATGCTGATTGGCCAGGCAGGAAATACAGGCAGGAAAACCAGACAGGAAGTAGAAATGATGTAATGAGAACAGGAGAATTCTGGGAAGGAGGAAACTGATTCCTCCCACTCCTGCCCAGACCACCGAAGCAGCAGGATGTGATCTGCCTACTGAGAAAGGTACTGAGCCACATGGCTAACATAGGTCAGAAAAATGGGTTAATCAAGATGTGAGAGATAGCCAGTGAGAGGCTACAGCTAATGGGCCAATCAGCTTTATAACTTATAGAGACCTATGTGTGACTTTCTTTGGGGCTAAACAGTTGCGGGGTACTGGGCAGGATAAAAACCCAAACAACAAGCAGGCCCTGCTCCATGTTACAGGATACAAACTGGAAAAGAAGAATTCAAACTCTCACTGCTTGCTGATGATATGATAGTTTACATAAGTGATCCCAAAAATTCTATCAAGGAACTCATGAACACTTTCAGTAATGTAGCAGGATACAAGAATACAAGATTAACTAAAAAAAAAAAAAATCAGTAGCCCTCCTGTACACAGATGATAAAAGGGCTGGGAAAGAAATCAGAGAAACAATACCCTTCACAATAGCCACAAATAGCTTAAATATCTCAGAGTACTCTAACCAAGCAAGTGGAAGACTTATATGGCAAGAACTTTAAATCTTTGAAGAAAGAAATTGAAGAAGACACCAGAAAGTGGAAAGATCTTCCATGCTCTTGGGTAGGCAGAATTAACATAGTAAAAATGGCAATCTTACCAAAAGCAATCTACAGATTCAACGCAATTCCCATCAAAATCCCAGCTAAATTCTTCAAAGACCGCAAAACAGTACTCAACATTATATGGAAAAGCAAAAAACCCAGGATAGCCAAAACAATCCTGTACAATAAAAGAACTTCTGGAGGCATCACAATCCCTGAGTTCAAACTCTACTACAGAACTACAGTACTGAAAACAGCCTGGTATTGGCATAAGAACAGAGAGGAGAACCAATGGAACTGAATAGAAGACCCAGATAATTAATCCACAATCCTTCAAACACCTGATTTTTGATACAGAAGCAAAAAATATCAAATGGAAAAAAAGAAAGCATATTTAACAAGTGGTGCTGGCATAACTAAATAGCAACATGTAGAAGAATGAAAATAGACCAATATCTATCACCATGCGCAAAACTCAAGTCCAAATGAATTAAAGACCTCAACATAAAGCCAGCCACACTGAACCTTATAGAAGAGAAAGTGGGAAGTACACTTGAACACATTAGCACAGGAGACCACTTCCTAAATATAACCCCAGGAGCACAGACACTGAGAGAAACAATTAATAAATGAGACTTCCTGAAACTGAAAAGCTTCTGTAAAGCAAAGGACACAGTCAACAAGACAAAATTTCAGCTACAGAATGGGAAAAGATCTTCACTAATCCCACATCAGGCAGAGGTCTGCTCTCCAAAATATACAAAGAACTCAAGAAATAGATCACCAAAAGAACACATAATCCAATAAAAAAAAATGGAGTACAGACCTAAACAGAGAACTCTCAACAGAGGAATCTAAGATGGCTGAAAGACACTTAAGGAAATGTTCAACATCCTTAGTCATCAGAGAAATGCAAATCAAAACAACTCTGAGAGTCCGTCTTACACCTGTAAGAATGGTCAACATCAAAAACACTATGACAACTTATGCTGGAGAGGTTGTGGAGAAAAGGGAACACTCCTGCATTGCTGGTGGGAATGCAAGCTGGTACAGCCCCTTTGGATGTCAGTGTGGCGATTTCTCAGAAAATTAGGAAACAACCTTCCTCAAGACCCAGTAATAACACTTTTGGGTATATATCCTAAGGATGCTCAATCGTGCTACAAGGACATGTGCTCAACTATGTTCATAGCAGCCTTGTTTGTCATAGCCAGAACCTGGAAACAACCGAAATACCCCTTGACCGAAGAGTAGATAAGGAAAATGTGGTACATTTACACAATGGAGTACTACACAGCTGAAAAAAATAATGACATCTTGAATTTTGCAGGAAAACGGATGGAGCTAGAAAACATTATTTTGAGTGAGTTAACCCAGACACAGAAAGACAATTATCACATGTACTCACTCATAAGTGGTTTTTAAACATTAAGCAAAGAAAGCCAGCCTACAAACCACAATCCCAGAGAATTTAGACAACAATGAGGGCACTAAAAGAGACTTACATAGATCTAATCTACATGGGAAGTAGAAAAAGACAAGATCTCCTGAGTAAACTGGAAGCATGGGGACCTTGGGGGAGGTCTCAAGGGGGAAGGGGAGAAGTAGAGAGAAGGGAGGAGAGAAAAATGTAGAGCTCAATAAAAATCAATGGAAAAAAAAAGAAAAAAAACCCACAAAGTATAACAGCACATATTGTGAAAATGCTAAGAAGAAACTCTTTACTTTTATGCTAACTTAAATATTTTAAAATGACATAATATTAATTAGATCCCATACATATACTTCTATATAGGCAAACTCATAATCCTGTGGTAGTTGGTTTTTCAAGTAGTGATACAGATTATATACTAACTATGCATTCTAGCATTGAGCTAAACCCTAGTCCTCAGAGATATTTTTAAATAAATACTTTAATTTAGAAAGAAAAAGTAAAAAGGTAACTCTGGCAAGTATTATGGGGCCAAACCTTAAAGATCTTAATCCATTGTCTTGGGGGTATCTTTAAATGTAAAGGGACGGATGGCTGAGGATGTGGAAGGTAGGATCTCTAAGCAATAACTACTCTGAGTTCACTTACAGAAGGCATTATCAAGAACATTCAAACATCTGATAAAAACAGACATCGTCATTCTCAAAGTATTCAGTATTTCTCATACTCTTCTGGCCACAGAAATAATCTTTTAAGTTATTTGGTTTTATTTTTATTTAATTCTTAAGAAACAGCTTGTAGGAGAAAAAAAGCAATGCTATCTAAATGATGATAGCATTGCTTCTCATGAGTGCTATTATGTATCTGTCTGTCTAGAATTACAAATTTTAAGGGCACAAAAATATAGTTTCATCCTATCTTTTTAAGTGTCATATACTAAAACCTTTATATTATCTCAATGTATTGTTTCAACTTTCTGTGGTTTATAAAGCTTTAGTCATACATTCATTTACCTATTGCAGTGCTGGGGAGTGCACCTAAGGTCTTAGGATACTTGGCAAATGCTCTACCACTGAACTACACCCAGTTATCTTTTTACTCTTTACTTTGAGGCTAAATTACTTCCTCTGCTAAATTGTCCAGTAGTGGTAGTTTTGAACTCACTCTGTAGCCCAGGATAGATTTAAACTTACATTCTTCCTAAGTTTCCTGAGTAGCTGAGATTACTGGTCTGTGTCACAAGCCACAGCTATTATTTCTAATCTCTAGATTTGAAATTTGGGGCTAAGAGTTTCGATAACTTGTCCTAAGTCATTTAGCTAATAAGTTACTGAAGCCAACTACAAACTCAAGCCTGTTACTCTCTCTCTCTCCAAACACGCACACTTGTAAGTGTATACACACACACACACAAAATTCTGGGATATTTTCATATTAGTAAAATTCTGGAATATGTTCACACATATATGTATGTGTTTTATGTATGTGTATATTGTTTTACATATGCATTTTATACTGTTTACATATAATTTTGTAGGTATGCTTTATATGTATTTTGGATATATCAAGCATATACGCACGTGCATGCACACACATACACGATGCTAAAATACTTTGCTAAAAATACTCATGCTCAATGGTATTTACACCTTGTCTTTAAATTTCTTTGGAAGAAAATTTTCATAGGCTATTATTCACTACGTAACACTTCTAGTTTGACTGTGGGGCAATGTAGTGTTTCGAGTATAGTACTATTTTTAAATGTATTTATAACAGAAAGGCAGCTGCAGTTATTAAGATTGGTTTCAGTTTTTAAAGTTTACTTCTGTAATATGTCAGTTTCGTTTTAGTAAGTTAAATTTGGCTTTAAGTAATGATGGATGAAAACAAAATCACCTCTGAGATGGTTCTACTTTATAATCAATGCTAAATTTTTTTCATTTATTTTTTTCTATAGTTCTTTCTGTAACCTTTAAGAATGTAGCTAGGCTAGTTAAATCAGAATGTGACCCATATCTTCAATATTTCATTTTTCAGAGTACAACTGAAGTAGGGATCAGTAGTTTGTCAAATCTAAAGGATCACATCTACTCATGCCATATTTACTCAGGAATAGTTGATTACCATCTTTAATCTTTATATATATTATCATAATTATATATGAGCAATTATGAGAACTGTTGGTTTTGAGAATTTAAAAATATAAATATCACTGGCTCTCTCTTAAGGCTTGGCCCACAAATCTGGACAGGAAATGGATAGGACTGAGTATTGGATTCCATCAGATTTGTCATATTATGCCCTTTGTTCTGAAAGGATATCTGGTTACTTGAGCGTTGATACTCAGTAACACTATGGAACCGAATAAAGACAAGAATAAAACAAAAACATTAGGAAAGGGAAAAAAAAAAAAGGAAAAAAAACCCCAAAGCAATAACCCCCTCCCCGTGGTTACCTGTGGTCTGGTAACACTCTCATATATTTTTTTTTCTTTTTTTGGGGGGAAGAGGGTGGAAAATTACAAATTTACATGCAAACCCAGACCATCATTTTAATCAAAATTGTTTTGTTTGGTTTTTCTACCTGAAACTCCTCTGCAAAGCAATCACAGCAGACGGAAGCTTCTTTAATCTCTTTCTGGTCTGGAAACCTTTCCAATAGGCTTGAATCAAGCAAGCTGCTTTATGTAGTTTCTGAAATTATATATCAGAAATAATTTTGATATGTCTCTAGAAAAGCCTTTTTGAGAAATATATCCCTTAAAATACAAGGCCAGGGTAAGGTTTAATCTTCACCTCTAAACAGATGGGTAGCAGGAAACATTAAGCTCATGAGGCCCAGAATGTCCAAGAATATCACACCTGTTCAACTAGGGTAATATCTAGAACATATTCAAAATAGTCTAGTTAGCTCCAAATTCTCTCTCTAATATCACTTCCTTTTCAAGGATTTAAAGTCCTTCCTAATCTTTGGACCTAATGTCTTCTGGTTGGTTGCTTGTGGGGTTTTGAAACTAAATCTTGTCAAGCAACCCATGAGAACTAAAATTATGACTCTTCTGTCCTAGCCTCTTGAGTACTGGGATTAAAGCTGTGTGTCTCCATGCCCAGGGAGCTAACTTATTAATGTTTATATTTAGTATTTTTAAAAGATTTGTTTTTATTATTTTTAATTATGTGTGTGTGTTTGTAGCTATGTGCACACCTGCTGAGGCCAAAGGCTTCAGATTCCCCTGAAATTGGAGGTGCAGGCTTTTGTGAGCCATCTAACATGGGCGCTGGCAACAGAACTTGTCCTTTGCAGGAGCAGTACACACTCTTAGCTGTTGAGCCACCACTCCAATTCATTCAGTATTAACCAACTTTATTAGGCTTAAGCTGTATAAGCTCCTTGACTATTTGTGGTTAGTTATGCAAATATGTTTTAATTCTAAGCTTTTAGGATGCTGTTTTGAGGCTGTCCACCATACGAATGTTTTGAAAGTAGTCTATGGAAGTAAAGAATTCTTTTCCTTTATTTTCTTCCATATAAATGTCTCCCTTCATCCTCCTGCCTAAACTGGACTTCCTTCCAATTACCTTTTGGTTTTGGATTTTAGGTAAATAATAATCTCATTTCCTTTTACTATAAAAATATCTTTTATTATTTTAGATTCCATTTTCCATATATATTTTAAGGCCTTACCTGAAAATATTCAAAGTGTATGCCTTTTTCTATAGAAGTAAGTTACCTAAAGCCTCCATTTTGAGTATATGTTGAAGAAGAATGATAAAATAAAATTTGTCATGCCTCAAACATAACTTATTAATATAATTTTATGTAAAGATAAAAATATATTATTTTGTATCAATGAATAAGGCAGCTTACCATAGGTGGACATATATACAGTTTGCTATAATGAGAGATATTTTTAAAGCAAATAAAATTTAAATAGCTTATAGATAAATGAGTAAATAAACATGGGATTTCATGAGATATTTTGAAAAAATTAACCTGCTCAAATCTATAAACAGATATAAAAGGGAGACTGAAATTGTGTTTATGGAAAGACGGAATGATACAATACAATGAAAATATTAAAAGATTTCTATCATCTAGGGATAACATTTTGTTTAAAGTGTTAAGAGAAGGAAATTGAGGCATATTTAAGGAGAACTGAGGTTCAATACAGTTATCAAATATCACACAAATTATTTTTTATAATACCTGTTCTTCTACTTCCTGATGGACTTTAGGGGTTAAAAGACCAACCAGCTGTCTAAGTTCTCGACTAAATTCTGTCATATTTTCCTGTTTATTTAGCAGACTTGTGAGTCCTAAAATATAATAACAAGACAAAACAATTATCAATAAAGATTTTGTTATCTAAGTAGAAAATGAATAAATATAACAACATAATTATATATATCATTTTCTTTTTATCAAACACTTCTATGTTGTGGTCTTTACAATCTTCCTCTGTTCTGAGAATTTTTATTTTCCTGACTTGTGAAATCTGAATGTAAAAATATGTTTAAATAATTTCTTTATTAAATAAGGCAGTAGGATCACTGAAGTAAGTCAGAGTAGAGAGAATTTGTTTTCCTTTCAACGCAAAAACCTTAAACTAAAACATTCTTAAGAAGTTATTGTAAGCACATACTCTGTATATGTCTACCTTGTGGAAGCACTTCAGCAGGTATTATTAGTCACTATTAATTAAAGAAAAAACTTATTACACTAACATTTATAAGTTGGACATAAGCCAAGAGGTTTCTGAACAATACAGAAATGTTATAACATGGGCCACTGCATTTTAATTCCAAAATAGTAAGTAGTCATAAAAGGGACAAAGTAACTTTTGTATCCAAAGCATGTTGGAATTATGTGTGATATAATAAACATAAATAAGCAAATAAAATTGTCTTGCAGTATACATTTGGGGCTGCCATCATATGGATCTTTGCCTGTGTTCTTTAAGATCCAAGCTTTCAGAAGCACTTACAATTGCAAAATACCTTGGTAAACTTGAGTAAATTCTACTGTTGCAATTTTATCATTCAAAGAAATGAACAGGGATTAAGGTAAAATTCAAATTTCTTGCTTTTGTTCTTTTTGGGGGGGCTAGGGGAAGGGTGTTGAGACAGGGTCTCATAATGTTCTGGCTGTTCTGGAATTCACTATGTATACCAGGCTGGCCTCAGGCTCAAAGGCTGGAAATAAAGGCATGCACCCCCAGGCCTGGCATGAACACTCGCATTTCTGGAGAACTCTAGCTGCAAATTCGAAAATGTATGCTTGGCATAATAATAACTAGAGGTCTACTAGTGGTGCTTATTCTAGCTTTTTTCTTATAATATATAAAATAATTAAAAAGGCAATAGTAATTACAGCTATAAGGAAAGTTACTAATGTTCCTTTTGAATCACCAAGAATGATTAAGGTCTATTCTAATCGATTAGTAATTAAGTAGATCCTAAAAATTTTAAAAGTCCCATGTGCCATCCTATATTAAACATATTTAATGAAATAAAAACCAATATTTTACTATACTGAATATAAATATATTGGTTAACAAAGAAATAACATAAAGCTAACATAATTTTGGCAGAGAGTTGGAAAACTAAAATCTAAGTAATCTTGAGTAAATTACCTAATTTTTCCAAGTCTCTTATTTCATATCTATATGTAAGGATAGGAATACCCAATATACCAAAGGAGTATTATAAAAAAAATTAAAGAATGTAAAATAGTATCTTGCAGTCAGTGTTCAATTAAATGAATACTCTCACACAAGAATGGTAGTTAATAATGAATTTATTTACTCTCAAGATTTGACTTTTTAATCATATGTGTTTGAGTATGAAATATAGGTATATTTTGTTGTTGGTAGTGTTTTGTTTTTTTAGTAAAGGCAGTGAAATAGTAAGATATCAATTATTAATTGATAATAATGCAGTTCTATTTTCTTCTCTAAAGGTATTAATTATTAACTGATAATAATGCACACTTCTACTTTCTTCTCTAGTAAGTTCTGATAAGGTCACAGACATCTTTGGTCATTATTTTACTATACTATTTGGTATACCCAATATAAACAACTTTGTCAGAGAGAGAGAGTAAATATTTATTATAACCCATCAACAAAATATGCATACTATCTGTTGATAATATAGAGACATCTATTTTAAAGTTTGTCTTCACAGTTGAGTTACTAACTTTTCAAAATATAAAAATTTTGCCATTTATAAACTGCCAATATATTTTTGTCCTTGAGACTACCAAGAGAAGAAAATACATATGACCTACCTTTGTAGCAAGCACTTAGTCTCAGTAAAATCAAAATTTCCTGATGAGATTCAGCTAGCACTAGGAGGAGCTTTGTAGCAATACTTCTTAAGACTGGACTAGGAGTTGATAAAAGCTTGAAAAGAATTTCATCTAAAATAGAATGCAGGATTTTTCCTTCTATTTTCAGTAAATCACCACTAATAGGACAGAAAAAAAGTACTATTACTAGTTAATACATGATTATCACAACAAATTTAAAATAAAGCATTTAGTAACTCGAATGACTGTGTGTGGCCTGATCCACGGAGATAGCCACTTTTTAAAGAATATAACTTGGTTCTAAGAATTTAGACTATAGCATATTAAGTCAATTCACATTTCTGATTTCATACTGTAGGCAGAGGACCATATTAGGTACAACAAAGAATCCAAAGTAGATGAAGTTCCCCTCTTTCCTCACAGAGAAACTTATTATCAAATTGAATATAAAAAACCTGTAAGATTAATTGCTTCAAAAGCTTCAAGGTGACAAATCACAAGACTGCAGTTAAGATTCAATAATTTAATGAAACACAAAATTATGTGCTTAATTTATAAAGAGCATTTTACTTCTACTGGCATTTCTTTATTATCATTTTACAATACTGTGGTGAGCTTCAACTAACTTGTTGAGTTTATGAGCATAAAGTTGTTCATATTATTACTTTGTGTTTTTGTTTTTGTTTGTTTTTTAAGACAGGGTTTCTCTGTGTAGCTTTGGTGCCTGTCCTAGAACCAGTTCTTGTAGACCAGGCTGGCCTCAAACTCAGAGATCTGATTGCCTTTGTCTCCCAAGTGCTGGGATTAAAGGTGTGCGGCACCTGGGCCCAGCTTCCTTAGTGATTTTTTTTAATGACAGTAAATGATGTTATCCTTCTCAATTTTAACATTAATTGTTGGCAGTTCTTCTATTTCTTTCCTGATCACTCTTGGAGGCTCATTTCATTCATCTCAGATTCAACTTATGGTTTCACTTACTTTCTCTGTTGTTTTCGTTGACTTTATTGATGTTGATTATTGCTTTCATGTTTATTGTTTTCCCTTCTTTGGCTTAGGGCTTACTATTCCCATATTTTTCTAGTTTACTTAAAGCAGAATTGATATAATGATTTGAGATTTTTCTTTCCCAATATAGATATTCCATATAAAATTTCTAAGTATTGTTTAAGATGTACCTCAGAAATTCTTTTCACCTGTTTTAGAAATAATTTCTAATTTTACTTTTGATTTCTTCTGTTCTGTAGGTTATTTAGGTATATACCATTTCTTACATTATTTGTAGACTTTTCAGATATCTACTCACTCATTTCTACCAGATTCCAACTTTTCAACAACATTTTGTTATTTAAATCCTTTTAAGTTTATCGAGAGGTGTTTACAGGCACTGGATATGACTTTTTAAAAATGTTCCCCTTGACTTTGAAAGAAGCGTGTAGATTTTTACATACATGAGCTGATTGGCACTCCACTAAATTTTTGAAAAGAACCCTCTGCTGATCTCTCATAAAGCTTTTTTCTAGTGTTCTGCCTTGTGAACTTTAGTCATCTTGCTTTCCTCTACATTTCCCACTTCATTTCTTTAAATCAAGTTTTCCAGTTACACCACATTCTAAAAATTTGTACTAAGAATAGTTGGGATCTTGAAAGTACTCCAAAGGCTCCTGTGTGAAAAACTCAGTCTCAAGGAAGGAGTTATTTGGAATGGAACTGCTGGAATGTTTAAGGGGAAGGACATACTGCACGTTCTTTTCTCTCTCTTCAACTTCCTGGTAATAAGGTAAGCACTTTGCCCTGCCAGCTGTTTTCATTGTGTATAATGTTTCACTTACAGACTCAAAACCATTGAGCAAATAAATAATCATGTAGTGGAGCCTCCAAAATCATGAGCCAAAATAAACCTTTTCTTTTATAAATCTGTTATCTTGGGTTTTCTTACAATGCCAGAAAACTCCAACCTTAGTTACATTCTTTTTCCCCCTTCTGAGCTCTTATTCATACATTGAGTCATGTTCAGTTTATTAAGAATTGATCCTTCATGAGTTGTCTTTTTCTTTTCCTCCATTAATCAAGTAAATTCATCTCTATAATTCTATTTTAATCCAAAGTGGAAATAAAGGTCTAGGTGATTTTAATTAACTAAAAAAATCTATGCCCTATTACCAGTGCTAAGATTTTATCATTTTACTTGAATTGCTATGGTCATTTGTTTGTTTATTATTTGCATTTTGGGGCAACAAATTTAGGATATTTAACAGCCAAGGCAAGTGCCCCACCACAAGGATACCTCCCTAGTCTTCCAATTGTCTTCTTTGTCTAGAGCAGTGGTTCTCAGCACAATGGTTGTGACAAACTTTAGGAGTCGAATATCTGCTATCCTGCATATCAGATATCTACATTATGATTCATAACAGAGGCAAAATTAGTTATGAAGAAGCAATAAAATAATTTTATGGTTGGGGTCATCACAACATAAGGAACTGTATTAAAGGGTTGTAGCATTAGGAAGGTTGAGAACCACTGGTCTAGAGTTTTGTCATTATTAACCAGAATAATAAAACTGAAATGCAATCAGACCTTATTCATCTACTTAAATAAAATCTTCAATGGTCCCCATTGCCTACAGGATATGACTGTTTTCTTAACATATCAATTTTTCATAATGTAAGTCTCTTCAAAATTTACTGGACACATCAGATACTGAACTTAAAATCCCAGCAAGATGAATCTTTTCAACTTTTTACCCTCAGCATAATGTTTCTTACTTATCTCTGACTTTTGTTTATGTTGGCATCTTTTTCCTTCTCCTCATCCGCCCTTTAAAACTTATCTTTAAAGTTTCACCTCAGGTTTAAACTTCTCCAGGATGTATCTTCACTCAGTTTGGCTTAGAAGCAACTCAATACTTTTGGATAAATTTTAACATTGCAAACTCATACACAAAAATATGTTTGTCTCAATAGTCACTCATTGAAAACAAGATTCATATTTGAATAAGTATTGTAAATATAAGGAGAAACAGAATAATCATGACACATAGTAGCCAATGAATAAACCCATACATGAATGAAATAATGAATAATTTCACTATGCATATTTTTACTATGATCCTAATATTTTTTTTTTAGGTATCACATCAATTCTCTTTTCTAAGCCTAAGATTTTCTAGAGCTCTGACGTAACAATTTGATAACAAATTTCTAGTCTTTTGCACTATCTTATACTAACTTTTTCTAAAAGTCAATCAATCATAAAAGACCTTAAATTTCATGTACAAGTCATATGTAGAAGATTGACAAATTGTAATAAAATCTGTAATGTTTATGATGTAAAGTTGTGTAAATTAAGTCACCTGTTGATCTGTAGTATATTCTGTAGCAGAGTCATGACTGTAGCTCCTATATGAACATTGTCAGTTTGCAGTAAGTGTAAGAAATGATCACTCTGCAGTACTAAAAGAACAGGGAGAAAAAGAAATGTTAAAGATTCTAATAATAACCTAAGTAAGAGTTTGTCTTTTAAAAATCAAATCAACTCATGATCATTTCTGTTAAAATTTTGGCAGTGAAAGGCCTATAATAAATATTTTTATAGATTCAGGCAGTTTTAAATGGTCATAAAGTTAAGAGTCATTCCATTTTAAAGAAGTTAGTTATAGTCAAAGGGGCATCTATAAATATCAAGCTAATTTAATATTACTTCCTTTAAGCTAAAAATATCTCCTAAATCTGAGTCTTTTTTCTAGCAATGAGTTTTATTAAATAATAAAACACTGAATAATTTTTTTTCTAGGTTTCAAAGTTTTAGTCTCTGATTAGCCAGTTACAAAAATTTGGTGCTCAGTGCATACGCAAGTTGCTTAATTTTAACCTCTGTCTAGAAAGCTGATGACACAAGCTAGAGTCATCAGAGAGATAGCCACAATTGAGAAAATGCCTCAGTAAGATCAGGCTGTTAGCAAGCCTGTAGGGCATTTTTTATTTTAAATTAGTGATAGATATGGGAAGTCTTAGTCCATTGTGAGTGGAGCTACCTCTGGTGGTTCTGGCTTCTATTAGAAAGGAGGTTGAGCAAGCCATGGAGAGCATGCATACCAGTAAGCGGCTTTCCTCCATGACCTCTGCATTGGTCTCTGCCTCCAGATTCTTGTCCTGTTTGAGTTTCTGTCCTGATTCCTTCAGTGATGTACAATGATGTGGAAGTGCAATGCAAATAAAACCTTTCCTTCCCAAGTTGCTATTGCTAGTGGTATTTCAGCACAGCAACAGTAACCCTAACTAAGACAATCTCCCATAATCTCCATTTCTTCACCAAACTAAAAATTATTAGTATTCTTATAGCAGGCTAAGGCAAAATGTGTTAGAAGAGACTGTTCCCAATAAATATCAGTCTCTGTTCCCTACATCAGTTGAGCACAAGGATAATTAAAAGTGAGATCAGATATGTTGCAAGCTTGCCCTGTTAACACCACCTTAGCTTACATAAAAATAACTTTTTTCTTTCCTTTTCTATTTCCTGAAATATCAGATTTGCTTTTTCTCATACCAACTTCTGTTCTTCATATATATTTAAAGCTAAATTATTATTTATCATTTTTAACAACTTAAAAAAACATACTTCTATATTTTACAAATTGTTACCTAAGTAGTAAAAAAATCTGTAACTACAATAGGTGTATTTTCTATTTGTCATATTTTAGTAATAACTCTAGAAGTATCCAGGATTTACTAAAATCATATGACAACTAGTTCATAAACTTTTCTTTTTCTCTGTTCTAAAATGCTGTGATGAAGTAAAATACTAAGGAGTTACTGCATTTTGTCTTTATACTATTTGCCGTGTAATTCCTTAGCTTCAAAGTAGATGAGTAACTCCTACTCCATTACCACATTCACAAAAGGGCCTATTTATTTAATTTTTGTAACAAAAGTTTCAAAGACACCTAAAAGCAGACAAAATAATGTAATAAATCCTCATGAGCCAGTCAATTTTAAATATCAATTAAACATCAAGAGATAATAAAGGTTATCTCTTAATTTTATCAAGAAGCCAGACAAGTGTTCCAATCTCTAAGTGTTTTGTGAATTTTTAAATTTCTTTCAGTCAAGATTCAAATAAGATCCATGGAACATGATTACGTTTCAAATTTAAAATGACCCATTATTCTTCCATTTTTATTTTCTTTGTGATTTATTCAAAAAATAAAATCATGTAAATTGTCCTCTGACAGGTTTGATTCTCTATTGCATTCCTGGAGTATAATTTTTTTCTCAATTGGTAGATGGCGTTAGAGGATGGAAATGAAACATATATTTTATCTGTGATGTTATGATAATCCAGTTGTCTCTCTTTTTAAGGTGTTGTAGGCATAGGTAGGTAATTACTAAATCTGTTCATTCATGAGGGATTGCAAAATAGGTGGTACTCTTTCATGCTTTCATTTATTAGCTGAAATACTTTCACAAAGAGAAAATTTATATTGATGTATATTGACAGAATAAAAGATTCTTCATTTTACAGTTTTAAAACAATACATTAGTCCTCTGGTTGACTTCAATGGTAACATTTGGTGATTAAGTTCACTGCACTTATTATTCTTATTATAGCTCAACTATTCTTTATTCAGCTAGTAGAAGCCTCTTAAACTAAAATAAAAATTTCTCTCTTTATCTGCTGAGCCATTTTACCATTCCTAGTAGAGGCCTCTTTACGTTGGCTTTTCAGTCCTTTTAATCCTGATGAATTTTAAATGTTTCTTTTACATCTCATATTCAAGACACTTCAAATTCACTTCTTTACTTCTATCCCAGGTCTGGAGGGCAGTAATTTCTTCAAAGGTGTAAAACATTTTATAGGGAAAAAATTATTAAAAACTCCATTTCAATGTATATTTTTTGCACAATAATTTTATAAACATTTAACAAGTTTTGATACCTACATTATGGTTTCATATTAACCCTAGACACACTATCATTTTTATCACAGTTCTTTTCAAAAAGGGATATGGCATTTAAAAAAATTATTTAAGTATTTTCTTTCTCCTTTATATCTAGTCCTAAGTACTTTATATTTTTTTTAGTTAAACAGTCTTTAAACTGGAGATTTTTAACAATAGTAGACATATAAAAGGAAAGAGATAATATTTTTTAAATAGAGTATTTAGATGTTCACTTAGCTATATGGCTACCAAAAGTGTCTGTTAAAACAATTGAAAGTAGTTGCCTTTAGAAAACTGAAAATGGTATGGATTATACATCCAAGGAATGTGTTTTTTAACACTTAAAGAACTATGTGGCTCTTTAATGCATGAATAATTCTAAAAGTAGAATTAAAGATTCAAGAATTACTACCTGGAAAAATATTCCAAGGTGCTGCACTTATGTAAAGTGAAATTTTTTAAAGACTAAGAATTGTGCCATGATTATTGGGATTACTTTTTTAGTCTTAAGACAATATAAAATTAACACATATTTATACTTTTCAATGAAAACAAAATATCCAATAAAATACCTTTGAAGTTTAATAAAATTTAGTAAATTAGGATATAAGCCTATCCTTACCTGAATAGCTAGAGTATGAGTGAAAACGATTTACTCTGTACACGTAGATTTCTTTAGAAAGATAAATCTAAAGTTAAATTTATAACACTACTATAATTTTAAAAAATTACTTTCCTAAACTGTCAAATGATTAATATGTCAGATTTACTAATCAGAAAAGTTAAGGTCAAAGTTATACTTTAGCTTTAACTTGGCATTTAAAAAGGCAATGCTGTAAGACTGTTGTTTATATTAAAGTTATTGTTTTTCCCTCTTACCATTCTGTATGAGTTGAGTATGACCTCCCAATAGCCAGAAGAGAGAATCAGTCACAATTTGGAAAAAATGTAGTAATTTATCTTTTTCTTCACCCTTAATACAAAAGTAAAAACAATTCAGTTTTCTATAATCTACCTTACATTGTAAACAGAAGGAAAAAGAAAAGACATCTCTCAGAGTAGTCAGCAGACTTTATTTCCAGATGTAACAGCTACTGACAAAGTTCCCAAACTTGTAGTGCTTTGTTTCTTCATTTGTAAAGGCAATGGTTGCAGTATATAAATGCTCTACCACGCAGAGACAAAACAAAATTACCGAAGTACTAAACAAAATAAGTAGCCTTTACTTTGTAAGTAGCTCCAAAGTAATGAGCTCAAAAATAGACTAATATTTACTCAAAGTAATAGAATCACATATTGATACACTACACCTCCTTAATGTTTGATATGCTTCAGAATGACTTGTGGAACTTCTAAAATAACCCTATGCACAAGTCCAAATATATATAATCTCAACCTCCAAAGCTAAAGTCTAGACATCTGTATTTTCAAAAGTTAGATGAGTGACTTCATTTACAGCCAGGGTTAAAAACCATAGCAATATGAAAATGTAACCGTGCAAGGCATTAATAGAACTTTTCAGTTCCATTTTCTATCCTAAGACTTTATGAGAACAGAGAGTATACCAATACTCCCCATTATAACTCACTGTCTACAATTTTCATGGACAGGAAATGTTCCATTAATATATACTAAGCAAATAAACAATGCTTTTTTTGCTGAATCTATTCTTATGAAAAGGTAGTAAGAGTGCCACAACAGGAGATAAAACATGTTCCATTGACTATGTCTATCGACTCCATATAACTTTAATGTAAAGTTGTATAAGTGTCTCTAAACCCATCCAGGTCAAGAACATTTCCACTACAGCATCAAGCTAATAACAACAGTTAACAAACCACCTGTTAATTTAATTATAACAACTGTCTTTCCTATAAAACTACCAAACATAAAAAATGCCACATTAGACGGACACATCTTGGTCAAGTAAACATCCTTTTCCAATTTCATCCAAAGATACAATGAGAAAGTGCATCAAAGATCTTGTCACTCTCAAAGGGTCATGTATTTCAAGATGTTCAAAGTTTACTTTAAAGCCTGTTAGATAATATCAACCATTAATTTACAGTTCCTGACAAAACTTGCTCTTGAATCACTTCAAAGTTCTTGAATAAGTATTTTTCTTTTCTGATACAGATATTTAAAACTAGTGTGTAGCTTGGGCCAGAACATCTAAGATACATCCTACTATGTTATATGCTACCCACTTACTATCAAATTCTTAAAAATTTGCTTGGGAACTCAAAAATAGACTAATATTTACTCAAGATTCTGTGACTATTGTGTTAAGTCCTCTACTAATAATATATTTTTTTTTAATATTTGGGCCAGCCTATTGTCCATATTGTTGCATTTCTCATTTAATTCCATTCTTTTTGTTTATAAGATGTATTTAATAGGTATATTTTTGTCTGCATGTATGCATCCAATCAATGCCTCAGGAGGCCAGAAGAGGTAGTCAGATTTCCTGGATCTGAAGTTTTATATGGTTGTGAGTTACTATGTGGGTGCTGAGAATCGAACCCAGGTCCTCTGGAAAAGCAGTCAATGCTCTTAACTACTAAGCCATCTCTCCAGCTCTTTAGTTCCACTCTTGTGATTTTTTATCTAATGTTTTGAAATAAAAATACATTAGTTTTCGATAGTCCATAAGAAATAGCTAAGATCTTATTAGCTTGACAATTATTTAGGTTCAAGGCAGTATCTACTTTTCATGAAATCAGTGCTCTAAAATGGAACTTAATGTAACAGTGGGTATTATGAACCGTGTCTTCCAAATTTCATATGCTGATGTCTTAACCCCAATGTGATATTTGTGGGAGCATGAAATCATGAGGATAGTGCCTTCTTGATAAATTTAGTGCCCTTGTAAGATTACCCTGCCCCATGACAAAGACCACGTGAACACAAGCCACATAGCCACTTCTATCTGCCAGTCACAAATTTGGTCCCACCAGTAACTAAATCTGTCTGTCTTATTTCTGTACTTCCCAGCATCCAAAATTGCCAAACAAAAAAGTCCATTTTTTCTTAAACTAAACAGCCTACCCTATTATAATAGCCTAAACTGACCATGACACTGATGAGTTCTCTCCATAGGTTACAAAAGTTGTGAATGTATTCAAGTCTAATACAGCATTAAGTAGGTCCAAAGGTATATTCTGCCACGAACTCTTCCAAGGAAAATGTGTGTTATCCTAATAGATTGAGGGTGGAAGTTAATCAGCAACTTTCATAAGGGACTTACAATGAGAAAACTTAGAGAACTGTTTAAAACTTGATCCTGCCAACCTTCAGACTGGTGCTATTCCAACAACTACACTAGTTCTCAGTCTTTTGAATATAAAATAATACTTTCATCTATCGGCTTCTATAACTGCTAACTTCTTTAAATTAATCCATACATAAGATGTGGGGCACAAACTATTACTGGTTTTGTTTTTGCTAGAGTTCTGTATTTGCTAGAACACTAACACATGTGGTTGTACCCATAACATTCAAGTGTATGTGTGTATCTGTAAAACAGAGGAAAAAAAGCTCAAACAAAACTTCAAACAAAGAAATTCAAGAGTAAGAGACAACCTATTGAATATTTGCAAACTATGTATCTGACAATGGTTTGATGAATAGAATAATGTACAAGGAAGTCAAATAACTGAAAGCAAGAAAGAAAAAAGAATTCCATTTTAAATCTAAAAGGACATTACTCAAAAAGAACACATACAAATGGCCAACAGGTTTATTAGAAAATGCTCAGTATTAATAGTCATCAGGAAAAGGGCAATCAAAATCCTAGTTGGCCATATGGCTATTAGCAAAAAGACAAAAATAACAAGTGCTAGTGAGGATGTGTTTTAAAAAAGAAAATACTTTTGTTACAACAATTACAGAACATTGTGTGGAAGTTCAACAAGATTTATATGTAGTAATTACATTACTAGATTTTTATTTAAAAGAAATTAATATCAATATACATGTTATCCTATTGTTTGTACTACTTTAATGTAAAAAAATGGAAATAACCTAAGGTATCTATCAAATCAATGAATGCACAAATATAATGAAATACTTTTCAGGCATAAAAAGGATGAATTTCTATCATTAGCAACACCATGGATGGAACTAAAGGTTGGTAAGTGAAATAGACCAGGCTAGAAAATTACATACTATATGAATTCATACATACAGAATCTAAAACAAGTTAATCTCATAGAAGTTGAGACTACAATACTGGTTACCAGAGGCTAGGAATAATAGGAGATGATGATAGGGGCTAGTTTAACAATGGGTATTATCTAATATATAGAAATAATTTGAAGTATTTTATAGCACATGGAATGATTATATGCAATCATAAGCTTTTACTTTTATTTTAAAAAGGAGTAATTTTATTTTGAATATTAAAGAGATTAACAAATAGTTTCATTATTCTGACAGTCACACAAACTTAATACTGTTAACAAAGTTGCAAGCTCATATAGTTTCCAACAACTCCTAATTAGCCATTAAGAGAATTATAGACTGGAAGTGGCTCAGGCCCATGGTCTTAAGAGTACTTGATTCAGCAGGATTGCTGAGTTCCATGCCAGACTGAGCTACTCAGTGAATTCTGTGGCAACCAGAACAAGACATTTATTTGCATATATTACATAATTGTGAATGTTATGTGCATAGGAAATAATAGAACAAGCCCATGAGAGACATCAAGAGAGAAAGATGGCTTTTTTTCCATTTGTTCCCCTACCACCTCCTGTTTTTTCCCTGGGAGAGTCTCACTATGCAGCCCATGCAGCTGCCTCAATCTCCTAACTGTTGGAATATAATGTCCATCACTACACCTTGCTAAAAGGTAGGTTTTTTACGAGTGAAGTATTTCCTGGCCATGAGTCATGAATAAACTACTTCTTGTTGGGCATAACACATGCCTCTGATCCTAGCACTCAGGATGCAGAGGCAGGTAGATTTCTGTGAGTTTAAGGCGGCCAACCTCAAAAAACAAAAACACAGAATTCCATCCAGGTCAGCCAGGATTACAGAATGAAACCCTGTCTTAATATTTAAAACAAACAAACAAACAAACAAACAAACAAACAAGCAAAAATGAAAAGTGAAGATGAGAAGATAGTATTAAAATTGGAATCTGAATTCTCTGTTGTGCCATTTTGGGTTAGTTTAGTACAACTGATTGAAAGAGGATTGAAGAAGATGAAGAAATTTTCAACTTCTGCTCTTATTCCTCCCTCAGGGTTAGGACTGAGCACAACAATTAAGGCCTGATTGTGAGCACAGTGGGACAATTTGGAAGATAATCACTTAGGGTCAAGTCAAGCTGTTATGAATCAGCAGATGAGCATACTGGGGCCCTTGTATTGGAGTCCTGTGGAAGAACGGGGAACCGCTGATTAGAGGCTAGAAAGTTTTATGATGGATTTAGTTATCTACAAAGATGGAAACAGAAGTTGCCACTGAAATTTAACATATATATGACTCCACCTTTACAGGCAGCATTGCTAAGTAAACTAATGATTTCTTGTTAGGCAGGCTTCTCTGTTTCTATTGTATACAACACACATGTTCTATACAAGATCTATGAAATATGTATACAGCATAGGTCTTGTAGGGTAACAGACTATTATAAAACCACCCTGCGGCCGGGCGGTGGTGGCGCACGCCTTTAATTCCAGCACTCGGGAGGCAGAGGCAGGCGGATCTCTGTGAGTTCGAGACCATCTGGTCTACAAGAGCTAGTTCCAGGACAGGCTCCAAAACCACAGAGAAACCCTGTCTCGAAAAACAAAAAAAAAAAAAACACCCTGCCCCTGAACCCAGGACTTAGAAATCCCTAACCCCATGACTCAAGGTCAACGGGCAAGCAATACTTTGTGCTGTATTTTTCCACTTGTTCACTGTGCATACTCCAAAGATCCATATGTTGCTGTTTCTGATTCTACTCAGAGGCAGCCACCATTCTGTTTCTTCCCATAAGTATGTGGTGTGACTCTGTGGTATTCCTCGGCTCCTGATTGTCAAGATACCCCTGCACCAGAAAACCCTTTCAGATCTAATAGGATTGGACACTTAAGCGTGGCAGAGCACACGGTCTTCAAAACTTTGCTTCTGTGTGATGAAAAGGTCTTATCACAAAAAAAAAAAAAAAAAAAAAAAAAAAAAAAAAAAAAAAAAAACCCAACCAACCAAACAAACAAAAACCCAGTATGGCATTTGCTGTTGTTCCAAAGTGTAATCACAGATTCCATCTTCAAATTCTGATGTGCTGATGTGGCACTTTACATAAAGTGGACTACTACAAATAGGACATTCTTGGATACTAGAATATTGGTTTCCATAGACAAGAACTGGATTTTGCCTGATTGATAGCTCCTCAATCTAAAGATCTGAAGTAGGTACTTGATAAGGCAAAGAATCAATTCTGTAGTCTATACAACTCAACATCTCTTGTTCTCCTTCAGATTGTTTCCTCCATTCATTCTCTCTCTCCCTCCCCTCCCCACTCCTCCCTCTTCTTTTCCCCCTGCTCCCCGCTTCTCAGATCATATACAATCTTGCTGTCACTTAGTTTTCTTGAGTAATCTAGAACAGGCATTTCTATTCCTTTAGAGTTAACAGCAGGATCTGAAGCTCATCTACTCTGATCTCCATCTTCTGACTTTCTGAGGTCATCTTCACGTTGTGTTCTTTCAGCTAATACAGTTCAACCTCCCAACAGCCCTTCAGTTCTTCCACTTTCATTCTAACTTCTAATAAATGCTCCATAGTACCTAACTTCTCTTTTTTCCTTTGGAGCTCAGCCTGCAAGTCTGAGTTCTGCTTTTAAATGCATTCAGTTGTAGAGCTTGATCTCTTCCTCTATTCTTTTGGCTGTAACATGATGTCCTCTTCACTTTATGAATGAAATTTGAAAGGAATATATGCTCCCCAGACCACATCATCTTGATCTACACAGCAGAACTGGCAATATTCATCATATCTGGACAGGTAGTAAGTTTTAAATTGGACTTTTGACTCATTTTGTGTTTAGGCCACTGTGCAAAGCAACTCAAGTGAATGTATAATACTCCTGGGCAGTCTTGCACTTCACCCTAAAAAGATGTTGATCCAATCCTTGTAAGTGGGAATGAAATGCTAAAGGAAGGTGTAATAGTATGTGCATCCTCTCCAAGAACACAGAAAATTGCCACACTATTAAAGATGTCCAAGAGAAATTATAATGCTCTAGGAAGACAGCTATTATGGAGTAAAGGGGTCATCTATTGTCTTTTCTATCGTGGGGTCTAGGAACAGCAGAAAGCAGCAATGCAACAGCAACAGGGCACTCAAAGGGAAACTATGTGCTTTTTTATAACCATAAAGAAATGGCAAATATCTGAGGAGATAGGTTTGTTTATCCTGATATGAATATTGTATGTAGTATAAAAGTACCAAAAATATTACATCATTCCCTTAAAGTATGTACAACTTTATTATGTGTTGATTAAAAAACAAAATCTAGAGTCTTATTAGCCCGAAGTATCAGAAATTAAATTTGAAACAGCTACAGCAGTCTATAAAGCAGGAAGCTCAAAAGTCTATATGCAAATGTCCACTCAATTTTTGACTTAACTATGCACTTTTGAAAAACAAGCTCTGAGAAGCCTGGGAAAACTATAGCTGGGGATTGAAGGAATTAATAGCAGTCTCATTTCCTGCCAATTGCTGGGCATACAGAGTTTAGAATTCAGGTTACATATTAGACGGTCTGAGCAAACACTTTCCACTTTCATTTAAATCAAAGCACTACATATAAAGATAATTCTCTATACATAAAACTGGAATAAATCTATCCTGAGAAAGGCTAAAAGCAATCCTTTGTATCACCTGATCTGCCAGAATGTAACTGCTTCTCAACAGTCCTTAAAAGAAGGTAAGTGCTCCTGCAATATATCATTTAGAGTCCATAATAAACCAAAACATATTAGACATGTGAAGAAAAAAAATTTTGACCTTAGAAAAAGGGGGGGAAATATAAAGGTAATAGAAGCAAATTCTCAAGTGATTCATGCATAGAGTCTATAAATAAGGGCTTAAAGTGATTACAATAAATATAGTAAAGAATCTACAAGAAATGGATAGAAAGATTATGATATGAAAGAAAAGATTATGAAAACTCTAAAGGGAGAGAAAGAAATCATAATTAAGAAACGCAATACATGAAAACAAATTCCTTAGATTATTAGCAATCATTAGTAATTATTATAATCATTGGATTATTACTAGTAGATTAGATTGAAGAAATAGTCAAATGTTAAGATACACTAATAGAAAGTAACCAAACTAAAGAACACAGCAAGATCAATAGAGGGGAATGCCAGTAAGAATGAAGGCTGAGGCAGGAAGATAAGGAGTTCAAAGTCAGCCTTGTGGCAAATAAAGCCCAATTCACATGAAACCTAGTTCAAAAATACAGAAACAAAACCAAAACCAGAAAAAAGACAGATACAGAGACAGAAATACACAGTTAGAGGAGAATGACTATATGAATAAATCATACGGTATTCTTTAGCTAGCATTTATACATTTTCTAATGTAGGTTTAAATTCTTGGTTGTAATTCTTTGGCTAAAGATGTTTAAATTCACTACTCGTATGTTCAGCCATACATAGCATTAATGAAAGCTATTTGGTCACAATAAAATTAAATTAGAAATTAGTAACAATAAAGTACAAATAAAATCTTCAAATATTTGAAAATTATGCAATATATTTTTCATAAAAGCATAATACATCCAAGAAATACTTGAATTATAAAGATCACCATGTCTGAGTTGAAATATTTTCATAAAGAAGAGGTCTGAAATATGGAACATAAAGTCTACATATCTTCTTTGTCAACACTAGAGATATTCAGAAAAGTCCTGGGCTTAGAGAACAAATGTTCCTCCAATTAAAGAAGGGAATAACAATTAGAAAATTTAAGGAGAGAAGAATATGTTCCAGGAAGATGCCATGGATATAAGCATATATGGGTATTGCCCAAAATTGAGTGGTAAGACAGACTATTCAAAAATCATACAGCATTCTTTAGCTAGTATTTACCAATTTTCTAATGTAGAAATTAAGTTCTCTGTTGTAATTTCTTTGGGGGGGTTAAAGATGTTTAAATTCACTACTCGTATATTTGGCCAGATACAGCATAATTTGATAAATAGCACGGGAAAACTCAGAAAAGACTAGATATGGTGTACATCCTTGTAATCCCAGCACTCAGGAGACATAGGCAGAAGGACTGACACCCTGAAACCTGCAAGGCTACACATTGAGTATGAAGCTATCCTGGGTTATACAGTGAAACCTTGTTTCAGGAAAAAAGAATAAAATTATTGGGGAATAAACATCAAATAAACGCATGCCTTAGCTGCATTGATGAAACATGTTTGTAATCGTCTCCCCAAGATAAGAAAATTTTCGACAGCTGATGGAAGTAATTCCTTGTAAAATTCTTCTCCATCTTCTCCTGGTTCTAAGCCCACACAGCAATGGCTGAAATGAGAGTACAAATTTGCATAAATAATATCAGTTTAATGTTCAAACTTCCATAGGCATTGTGCTTTAATGAAAATCTTAAGTATCATTATTTTGTTGACAAGCCAATTAAAAATTTGCTGGACATTTTTAACTTTTTAGAGAACTAAACTGTGCTATGGACCTTGCTTGCATTCAGTTCCAGGGCTCACATACCCTAAAACCGAATATACTGGCCCTTTAAGAAATGAAAGCCATTAGAGAAGCAACTTCTCTAATCCCAGCACCCTGGGAAGCGGATATTGGCAGATCTCATAGTTGAGTTCAAGGTCAGCCTGACCTACATAGTCAGTTCCCGGTCAGCCAAGTTTACAGAAACCCTGTCTCTGAAATAAAAAATGAACAAACAAAAAGAGAGAAAGGAAGAAGGCACATGAAAAATACGTGTTTACAATAAAGAGAAATGAGATTAGTTTACAGGGAGTTGGCTACAATAAGCCTAAAAGGCAACGAATACCTTGACTGTTTATTTTACATTAATTTTTGTTAATTGATATATTTTAGAAATCTAATAGCAAAAATTTATCTAGGGTGAGATTATCTTCAAGGAACAAAGATAAGAAAACTAAACACTCTAATTTCACACCCAATTCTTCTTCCCAACAGATTGTTTTCTTAAGATCCCCAAATTATCTGCTTGTATATATATTCCTTATATCAAAAGGGAAAACAGTGAAAGTATACCCTAACAGGAACATTTTATGATATACAGAAAGAAAAATAATCCTTTCAGAGAACTGTATCTTCATGAAACTACCCATTACAGCTGCTCCTTGGATATGAGTTGAATATATTAAAAAATACCAATATTAAAAGTAGTTGTAGTCTCATACCAAAAGGGCCTTCAACCCAAAGTAGTATGATAAGTACTACTGTCTAAGTCTTTTCAACAAAAGGTGCAAACACTGGTAAGAATGGCAATTACAAGACAAGCGTGCTAAAAACCTAACTGGCTAATGCTTGCTATCAAGTTTTTACTTTCCATTCAGTTATTAAACTTAACTACTCAGGACAGCTGTATGATAGATGGCATTAACAAAAGAAATAATATTAAACCAATGTTGTCATTACCCAGCATATCCGATCAAAAAATATAGAGGCACTTATTTACTTATATTCAACCAATACTGAAATAATTAATCTTGAAAATTAAAGTATAAAAGAGTATTACATAGATTTATCAAATTTTTGTAACTGTGTACTTTGAATTGGGCCTTTATGTAATAACAAAGTAGAAGTAAACAGTTTAGAAAGTTAGGATCTAATACAAGACAGTATAAATATGAAAAAAAATCTCTCCTGTAGGGACAGTTTATTTAAAATCAAATGGAAAGGGACTGGAGAGATGGCTCAGTAGTTCAGAGACCTTGCTGCTCTTACAAGTGAAATTTGAATGAAATTTGGGCCCTGGCAATGCTGAAGCATGCATGGGCAGCCCTTCTATGGTAGTTCTGTTGATCATGTTCATATTTGGTTTCATAGTCTGAGTTGATGAGACTCATCAGGTAGGGCACCAGACCTCATTACAGATGGCTGTTAGCCACCATGTGGTTGCTGGGAATTGAACTCTGGAACTCAGGACCTTGGGAAGAGCAAGAAGAGCAAGCAGTGCTCTTAACTGCTGAGCCGTCTCTCCAGCTTTTGCAAGTACCAGAGTTTAAATCCCAGAACCCACATCTGACAGATTACAACCTGATATAGATATAAATAATTTGCATTAGTATAGATTTTGCTTTATTGATAGAGATTTAAGGTCAGTTTTGTTATATGTATATGTATTTCTGATCTTTATTAAGGTATTGTGATTGTGTAGTTCATTTAAAAATGTAATGTATATAGATTGTTAATAGATAATCATAATAGTCAAGTTTGTAGTTATAAGCGCACCTTGGGGTGCTTACACACATTATTAGAAATGGGCTAGTCCAGGTGCGAGAGTTAGCCGAGAAGAGAGACTGGATATAATGGGCAAGCAGTGTTTAAATGAATACAGTTTGTGTGTTGTTATTTTGGGCATAAGCTAGCCAGGCAGCTGGGGTGCTGGGGACGCAGCCCCGCCACACTTATTTCAACAACAACCATCTGTAACTTCAGCTCTAGGGTATCCAATGTGTTGTTCTGGCCTCTTTGGGCACCTACACGCATGTGCACATACCCATACATAGACATCAACATATACACAAAATAAAAATAAGAAATTTCTTAAAATCAAATGAGAATGGAAGAAAAATTATTAACTAAGGCACCGAGAACACTTTATCACCTTTAAAAAAAAGCATTTATCTTCAATTTTTAGCATGGTAGTAGAAAAGTAAATGCTGCTTCTAAATTACATGGACAACATTTGGGCTACCTAATGCATATACAATTTAGATAGCTAAATCACTACAAAGTGAAATGAAGTTTTCTGTATTTGTTTTTCTATTGTTCTTTGCTATATACTTTCATTTTGACACTTAATTCAAGTATCACTGCTGCACAATCTCCACTGTTTTTTAAGTACAGAGTTTTAATTTACTCATTTCTTAAAAATATTTCTGAGTCAACAGGAATATACTAGCTAGTTGGGAATCAAGTGGTAAACAAAAGAAATGATCACTTTGGAAAGAAATCTAAAGACAATCAGTTGCAGTAGAGTTACAAACAATAGCATACAGTGTGAAAGAAAAGTACAACCAAAACATCATAGGAGAGTCTAATTTTTATTAGAATGACAAATAAAAAAGAAATATTTAAAACGAAAACAAATTAATCTTCTAGCTTCATTTTACCTTAGTATCTGTGTAAGCTGGGAAATTGTAGTCCAACCACCCTGGATTCGAGAACAATCTTGACTGAGGACCAATAGACAATACTGAATGAGGTCATAACAATATATATCTTGTTTCACTTTCTTCAACTCTGAGCTTCCCAAAGGGGTGTTGTTTATTATTTCTAAGGAAAAAGAAAAGATATACCTATTTTTGCTCAACACACCTAAGAGATACTTGCATTTTTATGTTGTAATCATTAAAAATTTGTCAAAAAGGAAAATGGTAAGCCGGGCGATGGTGGCGCACGCCTTTAATCCCAGCACTCAGGAGGCAGAGGCAGGCGGATCTCTGTGAGTTCGAGACCAGCCTGGTCTACAGAGCTAGTTCCAGGACAGGCTCCAAAGCCACAGAGAAACCCTGTCTCGAAAAACCAAAAAAAAAAAAAAAAGGAAAATGGTATTCCTCAGTGTCAAGATTTCTCTAAACAAATTAGAACACTAGCATTGTATAATAGAACCAGTATTTGCTTAATGTCTTTCCTAACTATAAAAATATTTTCTTACCTTTTAACTTCAACAATATAACAGGAACATTTTGTTCAGGACTTTTCGCTACTTCAGCAGCTAAAGACAAGATCCTTGGGTCTGTGCCTGTTGGCTTCATTTTTTTCCTACTACCTGTGTTTTAACATAATAAAAAAGTAAACAAAGAAACCAAAGATCATGTGTACTAAGAATAAGAATTGTACTAGCTTTGCATTCATTCTCTCTACACAATTTTTAAGATAGAATTCATACAGGAGAAACAGATTGTAGAAAAAGTTGATACATCAGGCTTCATATGGCTATTTCTTTAAAGGTCAGTTTACAAGACTGGACCTTTGCTAGTATATAGAATGTGGATTTCAGAAGGATTTTTACTGTTCTCTTATAAGCCTAGATCACTGTGTCTAAATTGTTATAAAAATGATGGTTTATGGTAAACATGTGCTTTTCTTTTAGAACCCAAGAATTCTGATAAATGCTTTATCTGATTTTCAATACCTGAAATGGAGTGTTTTATAAAGAAGTTTATTTAGTTCACAATTCTGGAAGTTCAAGGGCCTTGGGCTATGGTCCTGCATTAGCTTTGATGAGAGCTATCTTGGCTTTGCCATATGACAGATGACATCATAGCACCGTGGGAGATATCATATGGCACAAGATACCCAAGAGAGACTGAGAAGGGACCAGGCTCACCTTTTGTAAGTCTTAAGAAATAGCAAGTCTTACAAAAACTGTTTCAATTCTTTTGAGGGTGGTGGTAATTCCAATGATGTAATTATTTCCCACTAGGCCTCATCTCTTCAAGGTTCCACCACCTCTTATCATTGACATTAAGGACTAATATTTCAACACACAAAACAGCAACAATTCTGGTCAATGAGTATTTAATAAGCTTCCCTAGCAGAAAATACTTCACAGGTGTTGTCATAACTGCTTTGCTCAAGAAACTGTGTGTAATTCTATGTAATTTTACTGGGAGAGGATTTTGGAAGACTAGGCCTGGTTTCCTCTGGATGTACCCCTTTATGGGTCTTTCACTTTGATGACTTTGCTTTGTATCTCTTCACTATAAATTAGAGCTAATAAATAAGACAATATATGAGTTGAGTCCTGTGTGCCCTTCTACCTAATCACTAAATCTGAAGATGATCTGTGAAGTACTAAAATACTAGGTCTCAAAAATGTTACATAATTAAAAGAAAATTAAAAATTATTTATAGTGAATTAACTCTAAAATGCAGAAAGTCCACACCTCAGTTTTCTTATCATAGCTTTTCTAAGTCCTAAAGTATTTGAAGCTCAACAGCACCATTTACTATAAAACATATTTTAATTAATAAAGGATAACATATAGTATTTATTATGAGCCAAGAACTATGCTGAGTGGGTTTTAATGCATCATCTTATCTTCACAACAGGACTATGAAGTAGTGCCTATAATCACCTCCAATGAGCAGTTAAAAAAAATAAAACTTAGCTAGGCATAGTGGCACACGCCTTTAATTCCAGTACTTGGGAGGCAGAGGCTGGTGGATCTCTGTGAGTTCAAGGCCAGCCTAGTCTACGTAAGGAGTTCCGGGGCAACTACAGTGAGAGCCATCTTGAAAAACTTGTGACAGCTCCACAAATATATTGTAGCATCAGTCAGATATCAGTCTAACTACAAATCTTGTGATTTTACACTTGATCTTGTAAAAAAAAAAGTTGAGAAGCTACAAAACCAGTGATTTTAATTACAATGTTCATTATTTTTTTCTCCCAGGCAAAACTGTAAACATAAAACATATTTTCAAATAATCTTCTAACTCATTTCTTAGCTATTATTCCACTATGACTGCCACTATGGTCCCATTTTTGTAGTTAAGGTTTGAATAACTTGTATTTAAGTCATTCAAAAATCATCTCTCTTCTTGGGCAAAATATAAACCATTCAGTTCACTGAAGCTATTTTTAAAGTCCAATAATACTCCTAGCAGGCAGAAGACACAAAACTTTCCTACAGAATGCATGTTAACTATATTACTCTTTCCAGTGTCAACATTATTCTAACTGTTCCTTGTGAGAATGCATCAAAATAGATTTTTACATCCCTTTCACTGGATGCCATTTAGGTTGCAAATTATTATACACAATCCTGTAATAAAAATCCATGTGCAAACAAGTAGGTATGCACTCATATGGCCTATAGAACAAATTCCCTTTGATATTCGATGGCTACAAAGTCAATGACCTTGGCTTCTTAGACAAGTATTTTCATCTGTGAACAAAGCTGCCATTCCTAGGTCTTACAATTCAAAATCTAGAAGGCAGCTATCAATGATAAGCCTTAAAATATAAAAGTATAGCTGAACCCTAAATAATCGGGAGAGGTATGTTACTATGAATTGCTCTACTTGCTTGCCCGCATTGAACCCATTTAACCATTTCAACCATTGTCAAGGATGGGTATTATTTTTTACACAGCCATTATCATTACTTCCCCAATCCTCATGATAAACTCGTACGTCTGATTTGCTTGCACAAAGTCACACTGTTGGGATGATGCTGGAGTACAAATTCAGAGATCCTGGTGCCCAATTAGCATAGAAAACAGTCTCCACATACCTTTAAAGGGTAGAAGGCAAACACAATCACCCATCCACGGCGGGGGTGGGGTGGGGGGGTGGGTAAAAAAAAAAAAACTTGACAAATCTGCTCAAGGTAGAAATGGAAGGATAATCTAACCATACAATTAGCCTGGAAAAAAATCGTCTGCTGGCGCAACTCACTGGATCCTTTTTCTGAATTCTCCTGGAACACAATGAATGCTTTCTCCCGCTTTACAATGCTGTTGCGAAGTGTCAAGAGGAATGGGGGGGGGGGCAATTACTGATCAATTCATACTCTTACCCCGCTGCTAGGCCGATCCTTGAGGAATCACGAGTGCCAGGCCGTGCCCTTCACTGCCTCCAGGAATCACTACGACGGAAACAAACGCCAGAAACCTGATGCAGTCAGTTACCCCCTAACCCTAAGCTTCAGGGTCCCCACCGGAAACGCCCCCTCCTCAGGCCCTAACGCTGGCGGGAAAAGGCCTGTGGTATTTAAAGGTTAAAAAACAAACAAACAAACAAAAAAACGGCCGTCAAGGGAAAAGCATCACATCAAGTGGCTTCCAGTCTGTCACAGCACCGAGGGGGGCGGCTGGGGTTCCATAACGCGCCCCGGAGCTACTAGGCCTCGGGAAGCCACAGGCCCAAGGCCAGCCGCCGCCCCTCGTCAGGCGTCCGTTTCCAACCCTGCGGGCCTGACGCGGAGGAGGCCCACGCTCCCGCCCCCAGGCCCCGCCGGCCCCTTCACTGGGTCCGAGAGCCTGGCGTCCTAGCGTCCCCGCCCCCCGGAGCCCTCGGCCCTCTCAGCCGCCATCTCATGTCTGTTACCTCATCTCGGCTTCGCCTCCGTCCACCTCAAGGCCCGACCCGCACCGTGCACCGCGCACCTCAGCGAAGCGGCGTTCGCAGAGCGGTGTGCGTCGCGACGCGGGAAAGGGGGCTGAGGGCGGGCGAGGGGGCGAGGGGCGGGGCGGGACCGCAGGCGAGGGGCGGGGCATCTGTCTCCAGACAGCCAATCGGGACTCGGGGCGCTCCAGGGGGCGGGCGCACGCGCCTGGAGAGCCGAGCCCGCAGGGGCCGGAGCTCCGGCCGAGGCCGGTGCAGCTGCTCGGGAAGGCTGTGACAGTCGGTGGCCGGGGCCGAGCGCGAGGCACAGGACGAGAATGAATGGGCCGGCGGGGCTCGCGTACCTGGACCGTCGCGAGCGGGTTCTCAAATTGGGCGAAAGTTTCGAGAAGCAGCCGCGCTGTGCCTTCCACACCGTGCGCTGTGAGTGCGGGCTGCCCGGAGGGGGTACCCGGGAGGAATCTCCTGGGATGCAGGGGGGATGTGGTGACGTGAAGACAGACGCCTCGGAATTCTGTAATTCTGTCCCCGCGGCCCTTGGCTCCCCGGGAGACCCGATGGCAGCGTGATCCACACTACCCGGTTCCCAGGCTCGGCGGCGCGGGCGCCTGGCGTCCCGCAGGTGTAGGAGAAACCTGGGAGGATTGACGAGAGACTTACAGGCAGGAGGGAGGAAATTTTGTGGAGATCTGGAGGCGTGCTTGTGGAGACCAGCGTGACAAGTGGATGGTGCGGGTGCAAGGGTGACAGATGGAACAAAGGACCGAATGCAGGGCAAAAGCGGTGTGTAGACGCCACAGGGACACTCCTTCGCCGTTTTCACTTGTCCTCTGGCTGATGAGCGGTCTCATTTAGTTTGTTTGTGAGGAGACACTGTCAGCTATCTCCATAGTTTCTGTCTCTTTTGGATCTCGGATTTCATGGTCAGCTAATAATTACTGATTAACCGATTATCAAAAGTTGAAAGGTGAGGTCTTAATAAGTTATCCTTAATATTATTGGAAAATTGGCTATAATGAGCCTTTTTGTCTTAGTAATTACATGATAGAGATGCCAGTGCCAAAAATGCAGCCTAATTTTGTATGTAAAACTTTTTTTTGCATACTAGGCCTCAGAATTCTAGCACCAAAAGGAAACATCAATGAATCGTGACCTTTTTTGTGTATGTGTGTGTGTGTGTGTGTGTCTATGTGGGTGTGTGTATGACAAATTGCAAAGTAGATTTTTTTCAGATCTTTTCTCCAGCCCAGCTGTTCTTACTGTCTCATTGTTTTACCTTCCTCAGTCATTCTGTCCTTTTTCTTGTAAAGTTGACATTCTGAAAACACCCAACTAAAAACTCAGTCATCAAAGTTTAAGTTATAAACAATCTAGCTGTAATAACTGAGAGTAAATGTAGGAAGAATCAGTGGTTTTAACCTTCAAATGATATATGCACACTTTGTAAAAAAAGGTTTATTATGCAAATATGACATGTTTTGGTGGGGTAAACTGGAAAAATTTACCAGCAGAACTCCCCTGGGTGTCCTTTGTTTATTTTGCCATGGGTGACAATTTAGAACTCCCCACATGAAAGAACAGCTAGTGCTGTGCAGGTCTTGTAGTTTTCTTCTCTCTCTCTCTTCAGTTTCGTTTTCTAAAAGTAAGATACTATTCTTATCTGCTCTCTCGATGCATGTCCTTTCCTCTTCCTTCTCAGATATGCAGTAATATTTTATTTTTCAAACTAAATGGTTTCAGATTACAAAAAATAAGTTATATAGAGATAGATTTTTTTAATGTTACATGTACGTGTGGGGGCCTGAGTGTATGTATGTGCATCATATGTATGCAGGTGCCCTCAGAGGCCACAAGAGAGTCTCAAATCCTGTGTAACTGGAGTTACCAGTGCCTGTCAGTCACCTGATGTTGGTGCTCAATGATCCAACGTTTCTGCAAGAGCAACAAGTGCCCTTGACTGCCGAGCCATCTCTCCAGCCTCTCAGTGTATATATTTTTATAACTTAGCAAAATTGAATGAAATATGGCTTCTGAAAAGTGCCTTTCAGTTGCTTCAAAGACTTTTATTTATAATTTCTTTGATTAATTGATTAATTAATTGCAGTGTTAGAAATCAAACTTAGGGCCTTGCACATACTCGGAAAGTGCTCCGCCACTGAGCTACATCCCTACCTTTACACAAGCTCTGAAAATGTTGAAATCATTTTTTCCAGAGTCAGATAATCCAGCCACAAGAATGGCAATAAACAAGAATATACAAAATATAATAATAATAACCACAGAGTAAACAAACTTAGATTCCACACTTAGTCTTGCAGAAGTCATTAAAAAGGTTTTCGGTCTTTGTTTTTCTCTCTCTTTTTACTGAATTAAGTATAGAATCACACAGAATCTGTTTAGATTTATTTAAATAAAACATGCTATTGTCCTTAAGAAGAGGTTCTTTTCCAGGGTGGTTCCCAATCTTAATTCAGTGAGAAAAGGAGACTATACAATAGATAATTTTGCATTTATGCAGGGTGAATGGACCTAATTTATAGCAGACACTCAAGCCAGAGTTATTTGAAAGAACATATTTTGTCTTATCTACAGCTTAAGTTTTGCTTGTCTTTTATATTAAGGCTTCAGAGAAGCCTGCTTGTGAACACTGACCTTCACCAAATGCATATATAATGTGACTTTGAGGACATTCCCTAAGTTTTCAGCCACAATGTTCATATGTAAAAATGGTAATAATTACATTTTACACTTTTTTCTAGAGGGCTTGTGATAGCATTAAAAAAATAGTACAGTATTTAGAATATGATAAAGAATAAATCATAGTCACCATGAGTTTTTATGAGTTATATTCATAAGTGCATACAGAGTCCTAATGTATGTAATTTGCTTAAGTGTAACAATGATCACACATAGCAACAAAGATTCACTACATAGAAGACTTTGAATAACACATTGAGATTAATTTTGGATTTGGGCTAGCACTGGCTTTATAATTTATATCTATTTAAGTGTTCATGATCAGCAAATGTCCTGTTTTCAGTGACACCATTTATTATTGTCACAAAATAAGCTGATAAGCCATAACTACAGACAGGTTATTCGCTATTCAAGTGGGCCCACCCACCAAAAGTAGTAAAACTTTAGTGTGAGTAAATATCAGAATTTAAAATAGGATTTAATTATGTTTATAGTTAAGGTTCTTTGATCAGCACAGACTCTGATGTTCTTTCCCTGCCATGGTGGACTGTACTCTCTTCAACAGTGACCAAAGGGGCTCAGCAGTTAAGAGCACTGGCTGCTCTTCCGGAGGACCTAGGTCTGGTTCCCAGCACCCACCTGGTAATCCACAATTGTCTGTAACTCCAGTTCCAAGGAATCCAATAGCCTCCTCAGTTTCCTGCACAAGGAAGTGCACATACATGCAAGCAAAAACATTCATACACAAAAATAAAATAATTAAAACCCCAGTGAACCAAAGCATCCTCCCTTAGTTGTTTCTGTCAGTGTCTGTCTCAGTCATACATTGTTCTATCTCATAAAAATTGATATTTGTATCTATTTTTTAGATGACTTCAAACCTGCTTCTATTGATACTTCTTGTGAAGGAAATCTTGAGGTTGGCAAAGGTGAACAGGTGACAATAACTCTTCCAAATATAGAAGTAAGTAGTTCTGTATACTAACATGAAAGAGATCTGTATCACAGGCTCTCAACGGAAAAGAACAAGTCTATGAAGTAAATGACATGTGTAGTAAATTAAAATATAATGAAAACAGATTAAAGGAAACTGAAATGTAGACTGGGATCAAATTGTGAAGTATATTTTATGTTGAAATTTAGAATTTGAGCTTCATCCTATTGGCATTAGAGAAGCAATAGAAAATATGTCTAAGTCGAGAACATGATTAGACATAGTGTGGTGGGGAAAAGATTCAGGAAGTATGCACATCGAGCTTCCTTTATCCAAAACACTTGGGACAAGTTTTTGCATGTTCTAGTTGTTTTTTTTTTTAAATTTTGGAATATTTGCAAATATATAATGAGATACGTTTGAGATAGGACATACATCTAAAATACCAAATTTGTTTAATTTTTGTATTAGACCGTATACATGTAACCTAAAAATAATTGTATAAAATATTTATAATAATTTTGTATATGAAATAGTCCATGATGTAGAATTTTCAACTTGAGCTAAAAAGATTACATTTTGAAGCATTTCAGATATTGGAATTTTGAATTAGGGAAATTCAAATCTGTAGTTTAGAGACTGGACTGAAGATCGTGGGTTCTGGATCCCTTAGCCAAACATTTTCTCTGTTTTTAGATTTTTCCAAATACATTCAAGTAACATAGCAAATATTATCTACATAAAATACAAACTTCCTCAGTTCAGCCCTTTGAGTTAGAAATTTCTTATTATTTGGGTTTTTTTTTAATACTGCCTTCATCTGTTTAGAGAAAGTTGTAGAGAAAACCAACTCCATAATTTTGTGTTATCTATTAAAAAAAATCTGAAGCATGATTCTAATTAGTCTTATCAATAAAAAACCCAAAGTCAGATATTAGGGTGAAAGCTGAAAGATCAGAGAAGCAGAGCAGTTGGCCACTAGAGAGTTCTGACGTCTACAAAATCGCAGACCAAATGGGGGTTGTTTCTGTTTCTGTGAATCCTCAGACCAAATGGGGGAGAGCCTGTCTCCACCTCCCTAGTCCTGGGATCAAAGGCATGGTCCTCCCTAGTCCTGGGATCAAAGGCATGGTCCTCCCTAGTCCTGGGATCAAAGGCATGGTCCTCCCAAGTGCTGGGGTCAAAGGCATGATCCTCCCCAGTGCTGGGGTCAAAGGCATGATCCTCCCCAGTGCTGGGGTCAAAGGCATGATCCTCCCAAGTGCTGGGGTCAAAGGCTTGAGCCTCCACATGCTAGGGTCAAAGATTCTGTTACTCTTTTAGACTGGTTCAGTCTTGCGTAGTCCAGGGTGGCCTTGAACTACTGATCTTCCTGTTTCCTCCTCCCAAATGCTGGGATTAAAGGAGTGTGCTACCACTGCCTGGCCTCTATGGTAAACTGGTAAGTAGGTTGGCCCTCTGATCTCCAGGCAAGCTTTGTTTGTGAGAACACAAACAAAATATCATACAAAAACACTGGACTTTTTGAGACATTTTGCCTTTGATTTTATGGTGTGAATAGTTTGGGGTTGCCCAATCCACATCGTATTACATGGATTATTGAGTTGCTGTGTCATGGTCAGAGGTACAGAAAGCTTTATCTTCTATTCTGTCTTTTTCTTATTTTTATGACCCTACAACTATGTCAGATGGAATCAGTTGCTGCTTCTGAAGGTTTCTTAAGATAGAGCTCTGTATGTGTGTGAGTTTTTATTGAATATTTCTCATTTGTTTCCTTAGGAACTGAAGAAAAATGAAAAGTCAATTTACTATGAGATGCTCTGAAAAAGTTAACTTTTGAAATCCTCTATTAGGAAAAATTTCCAGATTCTTGGGTTTCTATAACATTTGGAAATTTGTTCAGCAGTACCAAGCCTTGTTTGCTTTATGATGTTTATAAGGAGTAACCTGAATGAGTCATTCAACTTTATTTTCAGTATTTAAACTTTTTAAAAAATATGTTTTTAGAAGCAGGGCGGTGGTGGCGCACGCCTTTAATCCCAGCACTCGGGAGGAAGGCGGATCTCTGTGAGTTCGAGGCCAGCCTGGTCTACAAGAGCTAGTTCCAGGACAGGCTCCAAAGCTACAGAGAAACCCTGTCTCGAAAAACTAAAAAAAAAAAAAAAATGCTTATTAGTAGAAATAATTACACTTTCCAACCCCCTTGCCCCTCCCAGCTACCTTCCCTCAAACCCTTCTCCTGTCCTTCCCATCTCCCAGCCACTCAAAGAAAAACAGCCACTTCATTTTAAAAGTGACAGAAAAGCTTTAAGTTCACAGTGGGAGCTGCTGTCCTGTTGTTCCAGCCTGTGGTGATATTAATCAGTGGCAATTAGTTTGCACTAGAACTCTTGTTGGGCTTATCTTTGCCATATAGAATATCTGTTTTTCAAGTTACAGCTGTCACATTTCATCTCTTATATTGCTCTTCTATGGCAATTGTATGTATTGATAAATATCATTTTGTTCATTATCCTGTTTAGTGAAGAGTTCTGATCTAGCATGTTTGATTATGGAATCAGTATGAATCCTCTTAAAATGATAACTATTGGACTAGGCCTATATTTTCAGGTCTATGGCTTATAGATTTCTGAAATGTAAAAAACGATGGTAGGAGTTAACTGTCAACTTCTAGTCTCCACACACATCTGTACTCATGTGCACATACCTACGCAAATGCGCACGCATGAGCACACACACACACGATTTAAAAAAATTAATTTTATAAAACAAGAATGATTTCAGGTTCCGATGGTTCTTTTGGTAAGGTAGATTTTTAAATCCCATTCTTTTTTGGTATTATCATATAAACAAATAAAAAAGAAGACTATAGACCAGTTAAATACTGTACACTTCTAAGTGTTATAAGCATTTTAAAAATAAAAAATAATAATGATAACAAACATTTGTTGGATGTGGTATGGATGGTCCTATATACTGCTTAGTGATTTTCATATATTACCCACTTAATTTTATTTAATCTCTTCAACAAGTACTAGGAGTTTACCCCTATTTTATAGAGAAGGAAACCAAGGCTTGAAGAGAGTAAATAATTTGCACCGAAGTATAAAGCTAATAGGTGACAGTCAGGACTCTACTCCCGTGGGGTGTGTGATTCACCATATTTTCCAACAGCATGCACTTCCACATTGCTCACTCCATGCCAGCCACTGTCTCACGGACTTTAATTTTCATGGTCTGGAATAGGAGGTATTACCATTCCAGTTTTCACTTGGAGGAAGGGGCCAGAGAGGGGCCTCATCTCTCCTATTAGTAACTGGCAGAGCAGGTCCCCTAAGTTCTCCAATCCCAGTGTCTTCACTTTATTTCATCCCAGATGTCAGATCTGCTCACTCACATTTGCAGCAGCTATCCAGCAAGCAGGTGTGCTGGCCTTGCTTTTCTATAAACCGCCTGAAACTGCCTACAACTGACCTTTCTTGGGTAGCTCTCCTCATTTTCTTTTTCGTAGGCAGGTGGGGAGCCTTTGGCCTGCTGGGGCCTGTTCTTCTCCTGTGGAATGTGCTTCTCTCCGAACTTCTGCAATTTCTGTTCTCAGTATTTCTCCTGCCAGGTGGAAGGGAGGGGCCAGGGGACATGGAGGAATCTGGAGTACTAACAGGTTCACTGAGCTCTTTCCTGTCCAGCCTGTTCCGGACAGTTTTGTTTAAGGACAGTGCACATCGTACCTGGTACCTGTACACTTAAACAAACTAATATAGATACTGCTAATGTCAAACATGGAGTAACAGATGAAATGTTCCTTTTGGGACTTCTGATACAGAGTAGGAAATGAAGTTAAACTCAAATAAACATTTTAGTATTTTTTTAATAAAAAATCTTGTTTTTTTTTTTCATTTTACAAACAATTCCCAGTTCCCACTCCTCCCCTTCTCCCATTCCTTCTACCTACCTCCTCACCCTCATCCACTCCTCAAAGAGGGTAAGGCACATTGCTTTGGGGAAGGTCCAAGACCCTTCCCACTATATCTAGGCTGAGTAAGGTACCCATCTAAAGAGAATAGGTTCCAAAAAAGCCAGTATATGCAGTAGGGATATATCTTGGTGCCATTGCCAGTGGCCCCGCAGTCTGCCCCAGCCATACAACTGTTACCCACATTCATAGGGACTAGTTTGGTCCTATGCTGTTTCCTTCTCTGTCTGTCTAGAGTTGATGAGCTCCCATTAGCTCAGGTAAGCTGTTTCAGTGGGTGTATCCATCATGGTCTTGACCTCTTTGCTCATATTCTCACTCCTCCCACTCTTCAACTGGACTTTGGAAGCTCAGTCCAGTGCTCCAATGCAGGTCACTGCCTCTGTTTCCATTAGGTGTTGAATGAAGGTTCTATGGTGATATTTAAGATATTCATTAGTCTGACTACAGGGCAAGGCCAGTTCAGGCACCCCCTCCTCTATTGCTTAGGGTCTTAACTGGTGGGTCATCCTTGTGGATCCTGGGAATTTCTCTACTGTCAGGTTTCTTACTAGCCCCATAATGACTCCCTCAATCAAAATATCTCTTTCCTTGGTCTCAAGTTTTCCTTCCCTCTCCCCTTTTCCCCTCGTCATCCCCTTCTTCTCCCTTCTCCCCTCATGCTCCCAATTTTGTCAGGCAATCCTGTCTATTTCCCCTTTTCAGGTGGATCAATGTATGTTTTTCTTAGGGTTCACCTTGTTACTTAGCTTCTCTAAAATCACGAATCATAGACTCGTTATCCTTTGCTTTACAGCTTAGTATCCACTTATGAGTGAGTACTTACTATGTTCATCTTTCTGGGTCTGGGTTACTTTACTTAGGATTGTTTTTTCTAGTTCCATCCATTTGTAGCAAAATTCAAAATGTATTTTTTACTGCTGAGTAGTAGTCTAATGTGTAAATGTGCCACATTTTCTTTTTCCATTTTTCAGTTGAGGGTCATCTAGGTTGTTTCCAGGTTCTAGCTATTATGAATAATGCTGCTATGGACATAGTTGAACAAATGTCCTTGTAG